ATTAAATTTAGTTAATTTATAACTATTATAGCTATCTAGGATTAGAAAGTAATAAGTACCCTTTATATAAGACTTTATACACTAATTAAAGTGCTTTAGCTAATCTAGGCTAATCTTGTTTATAGTTTATCTATTTTTACTTAGGTAAATACACTATATAGCTAAAAATTTACTATTAAGGTACTATAATAGAAGGTAATATTTACTTTTTATAATAATATATAGAGGTATTACCTAGCTATCTATATATATACCCTAAATAATAGAAACCTATTTATAATTACTAGGCTACTTTATATAAGGCCTTTTATATTAGTTAGAAGTTATAATAACCTTTATATATAATAGTATTCTTATTAGGAACCTAGTCTTGTTAAAATTATAGATATTATAATCCTATATCTTGTACTTTATAATTATATTTTATATAAGTGTAAACTAGCCTTATATAATTATAGGATCCTTAGCTAAGGCCCTCTAATAGTTAATTTAATATTAAAATTATATTTTTAATTAGGGTTATTATTATATAAAGTTCTCTGCCTATTAGGGTCTAATATATATCCTGTTGTATATATTAAAGAGTTAATTAGCTATATCTTATATATCTTCTTATTATAAAGGAAATCCTTAATTAATTAGGTTAATAACCCTTTTAAGAATTACCTCTTCTTTAGATATAGTTATCTTTATTAATTTTAAATATGTCTTAGCTTATATAACTTTTCTAGTGCGTTAATAACAGAGTATAGTTTTAGGTATATTATAGATAGAGGCTGCCTTTTATATAGATAGATTTTAGTCTTTTTAGATAGCTATAATTACAAGGATAATTTAGCTTTCTTAAGAAGAGGATTCTATTGTTGTATATAGAGAAAGGTTAATATAAAGATAAAGCTAGTAGAAATAAGGTAGATATACGCTACTTACTATAATATACTACTTACTATATATATACGTTAAGGTAATTTATTAATAGTCTTTAGGTATAAAGACGCCTTAATTAAGAAGGAAGTTATAAAAAATTAATAGTAGTGTTTTATTAGTAGTACTAAAGAGGGCTTTGTCTTATTTATTAAAGTAATATTAAAAATCCCTCTAGAGCTTATAACTTATAAAGGCGTATTTAGCTTATTTAGCTATATAATAGGCAAAGTAGAAGTAAATAGTAGAAAGGTCTTACTTATTAAGAAGGATTTCTTAGCTATACTTCTTATAGTTAATATATCTTACTATAGAGGTAAATACTTTAGAGTATAAAGTACTACTAGATTAACTTATTATAAGGTTAGTTATTAAGGTTAATTAGTAGTAATTACTATATAACTTTTATAGTAGTAATTAAGTAGTAAGTTTCTTCTTAATATAACTTATACTTATAAGTCTAAATAGTGCTAAGTTAGTTTTATATATATAAAGTAAATAAGGATAGTTTCTAAAGAGGTAGATATAAAGATAAAAGGAAAGTTAAATAAGGTAGTAATTATTACTACTTAAGTGTCTTTTCTTAATAGCGCTATAGTTAGTATAGAAAAGGTTCTTGCTTATTAAAGGGGTTCTAATAGCGTAATAGACGCTATAGTGTTTCTTATAAAAGTAAGGTAGCCTTAATAATACTTAACTTAGTTAGTAGTCTACTAGGTTATAGTAGGCTAAGTAAACTCCTATAATAGTAAGCCTTATTAATTATTAGTTATTAGTAATAATTAACTATTAATTAATATTAGTTTTTTACTAGTTAATTAATAAAGATCCTTATCTTATAATATTATAAAGGTTAAGAAAAGGTAGTTAATTATTATTAATAGTTAACTAGTTAACAAGGTAAAGTAGGAGTATAAGTGTAGCAGCACCCTTGCGTGTAGGCAAAAGTAGGGATTCTACCAGTAGGCAGTGTATCACATAACCCACCGCCTCTGGCCACATTACCTATATACCAACATTTTCTTTATTTTTACTTATTCTTATATAATAATAAGTATACTTAAGTATACCTAAGTAATACTAATACTAAGTATACTTAAGTCTAGTATTAGTATACTAAGTACTACTAGTATCTTTTACAACCCTGCTGCCAGGGCAAAAGCCCCTAAGGTACATATGCGCACAGGCGCCAGCCCTGTAATATGTCTGCCTGTTAACCGCTACCCTTGAAAGTTAAATTCCTTATACCCCGCCTTCCCCTAGAGGCTATGGCATGGTTCATGGCTCACGTTGATGTAACCCTACTGAGGTTACCGTCCAGGTGGGGTTATACGAAGTATTAAAACGTGTAAAGCTATTGGTTAGAAAACGGCGCAAGTAATGTGCCTGCTAGGAATTCGTCTTATCACCCCTCAGAAGGCAAGGATGGAGATAGTGTAGTGAAAGGAGCCAGAAATGTTGTCTTTCTTTGTCGTCCTAATCCGCTGTCGCCATCATCATTATTCATAACTACCTCTATAGCTGTAGAGATCCGTTTTCTGGCTGGCGTTAAGTAAAGATTTGTTTGTGGAAAGATGTACTATAGAAGGCTGCTCGCTTATGTAAATGGCAGCGAGTGCGAATGTGACAGTCCCTTCCCGACACACCACGAAACTAAGCTTAGGCTGTTCTGCGTTACGTGGCAGACACAGCATATTTTACACATGGAACTAGCGGTAAAGTTGGGAAAGGAGGGCCCAGAGAGCCATAATTAAACAGGTAGCAGCGCGAGCAGACGGAGCTAGCTCAGACAGTAATCCAGCCCTGTATCGTATGAGGTGATAACTAGCCACAGGAGGATCAACGCTGGGAATTGGGTTATCTATTTCTTAAGCGTTGGCTGCCGTCTTGTGCATGGGTCGACCGCTCCCTAGCCTGTCGAACACATCGCTGCTTGTTTAGAGGGAGTTTCGGCAGTTCTAAATGTTCTTCATACTCGATGAGGATGGAGGCACAGGGGAGGGATCCTGGCTACCGTATCCTCTCATCAAATACGAAGTTCACACAAGCCATACCCTAATCCCATTAATAGAAGGCAGTCAACCTACCTACACACACAGCCACATATGTAACCCTAACCCTTGCCACCTAACTTGCTGCTAACATAAATGACTCCCTGTGTTTGCTACATCTAGATCCCTGTTTCTGCCAGCCCGCTTACCTCTTTCCAGCAGCCTGTGGCCTGTGCGGACTTCGTATTTGATGAGAGGATACGGTGTGGCCGAACCGGGACGCTCTGTTATGCGAGCTGCAGGCTGCCGTGTGCCGTGTTAGCCGTGACCACTGTCGGGCGGGTCTCACCAGCCGGACATGCCTCCGAGCTGGGAATCACCCCCCGGGTTTGTCCACCTGAAAAAAGAGTGAAAACACATAACTTATTCTCTCTCTCTCTTTTTCTCTACCTTTTTGCTGCTTTTTACACGTCAAATATGACGAGATACACTGGAGTTTTATCATAAATGGCGCAAGCGCAGGCGTCGGCTTCCTAATGCGCGCCACTCTCCGCGATGATGAATCTATCTATAATGCATATCAAAAGGCCGCACAGTCTGCGGACCCAGACGCGAGCGCAATTTAAGCCAGGGAGACTAGCACAAGCAAATCCCCATTGGGACATAGTTCGTTACGAGAGACAGCCTGTTGCGGTAGGAACCTTGGCGCGTAATTTCCACTGCCTCGCCAGTTTAGTAAGGGCGGTGATACACTGCCGGGTCCTAGCCTTTTAGAAACTTAGATAAACGACTTTACAAACCAATTAAAATAGTTTATATAGCATGTTATACTACCTATAATGGTATATGTCTAATAAAGCTGCTTTAGTGCGCGTGCGCGCGCGCCACACTGCAAGATTTCATGCAACGCATAGGCATAAGGTAGTTAGAGGAACCATTAGCACAGGCTGTGTATGCTCTTCTGCTTATTCGCCATCCTAACTTATCTCTAGCTGCAGGCGTGAGAGTATCCGAACGTCATAATGACTACAATGGGTTTCAACTAATAGGGGCAGAACGTTGTATAGTATAAAGGGCAGGGGATGTATAGAGGAACGGGACAACGGCTTGTCTGCAGAGCTGGAGCTCAATACTGAATTTGTCCTTCACATAATACCCCACAAAGCCTCTCCCCTCTCGCTTCCCTAATAGTGTACAGAAAAACCTTACAAAAGTCCCTAGGTATAGTTCCTTACAAAAATCTCTACCTATAATGCTAAGGGATACCCATATCATAAACAGGGGTTATTCCAGGGGTACATTAGCGGCCCTTCACAACGCTACTTGTAGCTAACATTGCAATCAAAGAGTGTTCATTAGGTCCTGTTTTTCAGACCATTTGGGGCCTTTTAGAGCTTATAGGAGCTTTTTACGACCTAACAAGTTACAGGCTATGTTGCCTTACGAAGACAAGGCGAAATGCAGGCAGCACAGCATTTGTATAGATAACACGCAGGTGTCACGAGCAGGTCAGGGCAACCAACTCTGGCACAAAGCAAAAGCTTCGGTAATGATGCACCAGCATCATTATCCCCTGTTTTGCACTATATAGTTACGCCGGCTAGCGCCCCAACTAGTTGGGCTGTAACACCATGTCTCTCCTCCAAGAGGCATGTCCCCATGCTAGTGACTAACTAGGTATATCACAGGTATAAGCAGGGAAACTCCAGCATTAGTGCTATCTATGCTTTCTATTGCATTATCTTTTGATTAATACAGCCTACGTGCAAGCTATTAGTGCTAGTCAAGCATGTGTGACAATTGCATTGTGGTTTGTGGTGGACCCCAGGTCGGAACGAACCCGAAAGCGGTATAGTAGTAACTCTATCTATTTTAGTGAAGAAGTTGTAAAGCGTTAATATATTGTTCTAACAAACTTATCTTATTGGTCTGGATACGCTTCTAGTTTACAAAGATCTTCTTGCTTGCAGTGGAGCACTTGCTAGCGCAGACTATGTTCTACGCCCCTTCCTCAACAAAGCTTTATGTGTGGACCATAGTCATGAGTACTACGTGGTCTATGTGCGAAGTATTGACAACGGGAAGCTGGTGATGTGCTCACATCCTGGCATGCGATGCAGTGCCACGTTTCTCTGCATGGATGAACCCGTCCATGGCATGACAGGCAACCACAGTGTTTAGCAGAGAATTCAAGGCTTTCACAGCCTCATCTTTCGCAATCTCAATAGGGAATGGTTATATGCGAAGTATCTATTTTAAGTCTGTATCATACGGTCTGAAAGCTGAACATTCATCTATAAATACGGCCTAAAAGTCCATGATTCTAAGTCTGTCTCATCAGCCACCAACACACTCACAGCTCGATTAAATACCTCTACTCACAACTTGTCTCTGGTTCTGCACCGCCTTCTACATAAAACTTTGTGCAGATACATACTGCTTCTTGCATTCCCAACACTGAACAGAACAAACCCAAGTCATTCAGTATGTTTGCTTCCAATACCATCATTGGCGTCGTCGCCAGCCTCACCATACTCGCCGCCCCTGTGTCAGCCCGCACCTGGGCTGGTGGCGTTGACATGAACGCAGCTTGTGTTGACCAGTGGCATCCGCCGTTCCAAGCCCAAAACGACAAGGAAAACAATGATGCTAACAGTGCATTCGACTGGTACTGCTCAGACGGAATCAATCGAATGAACGTTGACGTTAATGCCTATTGTTACACGACATACGTCGACAAGAGCGACGAACACTATGGCGTCCACGCCTACGCTGACCCTCAGGGCATGAAGAAGTACGACTGGGGCTGCTACTATCCCTTTTAAACTTCTCGAAAAAAGGGGGAATCGTGGCGCTGTGGGCATTCGTTAGGACAAGCCTGAGAATACCACCTGATCGCCTCGGCGTAGTTACGCAACTTATGGAAAGCCTGCGGAATCCCACTAGAGAGCACGTGACCGCACGTGACCGCACGTGACCACAAGACCGATCATCTGGATCGGTAGGTGATTAAGGTGGTTAGGAAAAGCTGCTACGTAGCTTTACGGATTTATATAGACACAATCATTCCTAGATAGATAGTAATCCTTTAAATTACTTATTAGCAATTAACCTTGTTAACATAACGTACATGCATAGCGAGCTGTGTATTATAACGAGTCGCAAACATGCTTATTGTACCTTAAAGGGTCCTTATTTAACTATTTTTTAAATTACCAAATCTTACTTCATGTTAATACAACTTGGTGTATAGATGTTAATAAGAGTTAGAAAATAATAAAAAGTATTCTATAAATTATTATCCTACCCTAACGCTGTACTCTAACCCTGACCCATATTAGTAGAGAGTAATAAGGAGTAACAAGGAAAAGTTAGGGTTAGGATAAGACAGTAATTTCTATAGTATTATTTCTTAAAATCTGGGTCATCCGACGCACAGAGGTTGCATCAGCGGATTGCGTGCTCAGATCCCAGATAGCAACATCACAACCACAATTAATAATCAGCGCCGCCCCTGGCGGTGTCTTTGGTGTGAATTTCACCATTTAAGTGAATTTGTTCCAAGTGGATGGCGTCACCCCCTCCCCCCCATCCTTTCCCCTTGTGTGCTACTGAACGCCAATGGTATTCTGCGGCTGTGCCATCTGGTGATCGGGACCGCATTGGCCTGCACTGCGTACGTTGTTTTGAGGAAGAGGGGTCCGGGGGACAACGCAATCGAATCCCTGCCAGCATGCAATTGTCCTAAGATAAGCCCTTCCCTCGGGTACACTCCGACGTCGATGCCATTTTGGAGGGGTCGTCTATATAAGCCCAAAGACGGGACGTTGAATCCTCATGCGTGGATGGACGTACCAGTGGCAAAATTTGAAACTGAGATCAGAGGAGACAAAATCTCGAGTCAGCATGGCACCTTCAGCAACAGAATCTACCACGGTGACTGAACCAGTCAACCTTCCGGTGAAAAACCTTCGCCTGTATGCCGACGGCTCCGGTGATTACAAGGAGCTTGCACCTATTGTATACGACAAAGACGCCGAGGCGAAGGGAGGGGACGGCCATAAGGGCGCAAAGGTTGGTGCACATGAACCTTTGGTTGATATTGTCTAGGAATTCTACAAAGATGCCTGACTTCCAAACCCTTAGTATCCTCATTACCTTCCCACATGGAACCCCGAGCAAAAATACCCTCCCCTAGAACCCTTCCAGCACTACGAACATGGCAAGGATGCCGACCCCAGCTTCCCGGACCTTCTCCCCAAGGAGGCCCAGGTGACCGACCTGACGCCCACGATCGGCACGGAAGTCAGGGGCATCCAGCTCAGCAAGCTCAGCAACGCCGGCCGCGACCAACTCGCCCGCTTCGTCGCGGAGCGCAAGGTCGTCGCCTTCCGCGGTCAAGACCTTGCCGACCTTTCCATCGACAAGGCCCTCGAGTTTGGCGGCTACTTTGGTCGTCACCACATCCACCCCACCTCCGGATCGCCCGAGGGCTTCCCGGAGATCCACCTCGTCCACCGCGCCGCGGGCGACAGGTCGGCCGAGGAGTTCTTCGCCACCAGGACGAGCTCGATCGCGTGGCATTCGGATGTCTCGTACGAGCAGCAGCCGCCGGGCACGACATTCCTGTACATCCTCGACAAGCCGGAGACGGGTGGCGACACTCTCTTCTGCAACGCCGTCGAGGCCTACAACAGGCTCAGCCCGCTCTTCCAGGAGAGACTCCACGGCCTACAGGCCGTCCACTCTGGCGTCGAGCAGATCAACGCTTCCGTCAACAAGGGCAGCATCAAGCGCCGCGAGCCCGTTGCAAACACCCACCCCATCGTCCGGACGCACCCCGTGACCGGTGAGAAGGCCCTCTACATCAACCCTCAATGTAAGCTTTCCTCCATGCAACGTAAAGCGCCTTTTGAGCAACCCGGCCCGGCTAACCGTGATTTATCAGTCACCCGTGAGATCGTGGGTCTGAAGAAGGAAGAGTCGGACGCTCTGCTCAAGTTCCTCTACGAGCACATTGCGTGGGGCGCCGACTTCCATGCCCGCGTCAAGTGGGAGGAGGGGACCGTCGTCGTCTGGGACAACCGTGTTACCCAGCACTCTGCGCTGATTGACTGGAACAACGGCTCGCGGAGGCACTTGGCCAGAATCACGCCGCAGGCTGAGCGGCCATACGAGACACCTTTCAAGGGTTAGAGGGCCGGTGAGATGACGAGGTATGAGTTTGTAGCGTGTACATCAAAGGGGCCAATTTGGTCATGAACGATTTAGGGCCGGCCGAAGAGGCCTAGGGCAGTGGTAGAGAACTGCAAAAATAATAATAATAAGAAAATAAAAAAAAATAACCAGTCAAGAAAAAGTACTGGCGTGATGATGAATGCCACTCTATTACGAGCAAAAGAAACCGATACTGTCTGTTGCGATACAACAATCCAGTACGTGATTCATGTTGGGCCGACTCAAAGCTGATGCCCATCGCGTGAGCGAGTATGTTTAGTAGTGGCAGTCAGTTGGCACCAACATAGCAGTTAATGTAAAACCAAATATAAATAAAGAGATAGACTTTTCTACCACAAGGATATGCCTTGATGAGATCTCATCTGTGACACTTTCCACTAAAGTCATGGTTGTCTCACATGTTTAACCCCCAGCCAGTTAGTTGGGTTTGCAGTTCGAGCCTTTCCAATCCTTTTCTGCCCACCGGTAAGGCTGAGACGGACATGGCAAGACAAGCCAGACATTTGAATAGTGAATAAATCCAATGATTAATCGTCCCGGGCGCGCGATCGATCCAAGGGGTTGGGTTGGGCGCTGGACGTGGGCTGCCTCTTTGCCGCTCCCTAATCGGCCAATTGTCTCTACATCGGGTCGAAAGGGGTGTCACAATTACATGGCTGCCATCACGCAATCCCTCTACCCCAAGCCTTTTTCGTCGGTAGAGATGCGGGTGTTCATGCCGCCCAAGGCCTCCCCAATCGTTGATCAGTAAACAAGAGGCTGACATGTTTTTGGCCTCGCCGTCGGACGCATTATCCACACATGGTAATCGGCTCGTCTTCTTTACAGTATCGCGCAGCTTTCCCCAGCCGGCATCTGGGCACCTCGAGCATCCCCCTCGATAGCTGGATTCCGACAGGATTCCTCGCGCTCAACTTAGTCCCTTATAACTCGGTTTTGAATTCTCGTACGTGGGGGTTTAGTTACTTGCGCATACACTGCCCTTTGGGCCAAAGTTGCTGGTCAGGCAATCCACGACGACATATGTATGACATGGGCCGGGCCACTATGGATCACCCCCCAACACTCGACAGCTCGACTCGTTGGGCCACCGGCCCGCAGCGCAATGCTCTCTCGCAATTGCATCATAGAAAAGAGGTGTGATTTTTTAAAGAAGACCAATTGAATATGAGGTGATCGCTTCGATCCATCGCGCTAGCATGAAGAACTTTCTACCCGTCTTCGGTACCACCCCCCTCGTCCTCACAGTGTCGGGAAGGAAGACAGCAACAGATCGAGCTTGGAACCACCACCCAGATTACTGGGACCTTAGGGGGTAATGTATAAAGGTTCTTGTATATCCGCGGACCGGGCTTCGTTGCCGGTACCTGTGCAGTTGTGACGCTGTCAACGAAGCTCTCAAAGGCCCCTGCAAGACTCGCATACAGTCTGCCAACCGGGTTGCCAAAGGTGTTTGCAAGTCGACTTCAGTGATGGGCTCAAACGGAACGGAAGGGCCCTTCAGGAACCCAGTCAAAGAGGTCGACACCACGCAGTCGCAGGTCGCGACAGACGCCTCGGCCTCTTCGTTGCGAGAACAGGGCGCCCAGCAGCACGGCTCGACGGACGAGCACGTCTTCTCGGACCCTGTCACTGCCGACCACTGGCGCAAGGTGTACGAGAAGGCCCAGTACGAGAACCGCCATCGCTTCGACCCGAAGTTCCGAACTACCAATGGTCTGCCGACGATGAGAGGAAGTTGGTCAAAAAGGTGTGCTACTGCTGCTGCCATGTGCATATGGGACAACTACGATGTCGAGCGAGAGCTAAATAAACTGAATCTGCTTAGATCGACAAGAGAATCATGGTGTGGGCTTGGGTTAGCGCAACCCCCCCCTTCTGTCGAAAGTTAAGAAATGACAGCTGATTGGTGATACACAGGTCATGTTCTGCGCTCTCAACCTTCACCGAAGGAACATCAACCGTGCGATTTCGGACAATATGGCGAGAAGCACCTGGACAACGACGGCTCGTACAGGAACGGTGACTGACATAGACAAAAGCTTCCTGAACTTGGAATGACAACCAACGACTTCAACTATGGACAAACACTCAGTCTCCTCCCAGAGTGATGAGATGTGGTGGTGTTGATAGGCTCACACGCGGGGTAGATTTTTCTGTTGTCCTTCCTCGCCGCCGAGTTGCCCAGCGGTCTCGTCAGCAAGAAACTCGGAGCTGACCGGTGGATCCCGTCCATCATGGTCGGCTGGTCCATCACGGCCGGTTTCCAGGCTTTCCTATCGAACCGCGCGGGGTTCTACGCCATCAAAGCCCTGCTGGGTTTGTTGATGTGCGGTTTCATTCCGTGAGTCTGGGACGATGGGGGGAATGGTGGTGGTGATGGTGGACGGTTACTGACTTGCTTGTAGCGACGTCGTCCTCTGGCTCACGTACTTTTACAAGTCCAACGAGCTGCCGCTCAGGCTTGCGTGATTCTGTACTGCACTGAGCACCGTGAATATTGTGGGATCTCTGGTCGCTGCCGGTGTCCTTCAAATGCGAGGTGTAGCGGGATGGGCTGGCTGGAGATGGCTGCGAGTCCACACCAAGGCAGGAGGGTGGCGATGCTCAGAACTAACAACAACTAGCTTCCTCATTGAGGGAATCGTGACTCTCATTATCGGCATCTTTTCCTGGGGCCTGATGCCTCCCGGTCCCACCCAGACCAAGAACTGGTTCCGGGGCAAGAATGGGTGGTTTACTGACCACGAGGAGTCCATCATGGTGAACCGCTTGCTGGGGGACGACCCGAGCAAGGGTGACATGCTGTCACGATATATAAGCTACTATTACTGCCCACGTAACTGACAGTATCGTTTTGTTACGTGACACAAGCACAAAACATGGCCAGCATTACCGAAATGGAGGCTGAGGCCCCTCACAACAACTTCGACACTATCCTCATTCTCGACTTTGGTTCGCAGACGAGCCACCTCATCCTGAGACGCCTGTGTGCCCTCAAGGTGTACGCTGAGATGCTGCCATGTACCACGAAGCTGGCGGATCTCCCCTTTAAACCGAAGGGTATTGTGCTTTCTGGAGGGCCCTTGTCTGTCTATGATCAGGGCGCGCCCCATGTTGACCCTGCTGTCTTTGATCTTGGTGTCCTAATTCTGGGCATTTGCTACGGTTGCCAGGAGCTTGCTTAGAGGATTAACTCCGAGAACGTCGCCTGTGGTGCAGCCTGAGAGTACAGTTACGCTAATGTTACTGTTGGCATATGGGTGATGCGGCCGGAGGCGGTGGGTCACGTGACACACCGCCTACCGGCAGAATCCCTTACCCTTGCCTATACGCAAGGGTGCTACTACACTTGTGCTCTTACTTTACCTTGTTAACTAGTTAACTATTAACAACTATAAATTTAACTACCTTTTTTTAACCTTTGTAATATTACAAGATACAGGATCTTATTAATTAGCTAGTAAAAACTAACATTAATTAATAGTTAATTATTACTAACAACTAGTAATTAATAAGGCTTACTATTATAGGAGTTTACTTAGCCTACTATAACCTAGTAGACTACTAACTAAGTTAAGTATTATTAAGGCTACCTTACCTCTACAAGAAACACTATAGTGTCTATTACACTATTAGAACCCCTTTAATAAGTAAGAATCTCTTTTACGCTAACTATAGCGCTATTAAGAAGAGACACTTAAGTAGTAATAATTACTACCTTATTTAACTTTTCCCTTTATCTTTATATTTACCCCTTTAGAAAACTATCCCTATTTACCTTATATATATAAAACTAACCTAGCACTATCTAGACTTATAAGTGTAAGTTACACTAAGAAAGAAACTTACTACTTAATTACTACTATAAAAGTTATATAGTAATTACTACTAATTAACCTTAATAACTAACCTTATAATAAGTTAACCTAGTAGTACTTTACACCCTAAGGTACCTACCTTTATAGCAAGATATATTAACTATAAGAAGTATAGCTAAGAAATCCTTCTTAATAAGCAAGACCCTCCTACTATTTACTTTTACTTTGCCTATTATATAGCTAAATAGGCTAAATACGCCCTTATAGGTTATAAGCTCTAGAGGGACTTTTAATATTACTTTAATAGATAAGACAAAGCCCTCTTTAGCGCTACTAGTAAAACACTACTATTAATTTTTTATAACTTCCTTCTTAATTAAGGCGTCTATATACCTAAAGACTATTAATAAATTACCTTATACCTTATTACTATTATTAATAATAATAAGTTTTACGTTTAGATAGATAAAGAAGTTAAGAAAGTATAGTATAAGTTAGTAATATTTAATAGGCTTATTAAAATATATAATAGCTTCTTAAATAATATCTAATGTAGTTATATTAGCCTAGAATAGTGTAAGTAAAAACAGTAATAGTAACCTATTGCCTATATAACTAAATAGAGCCTAGTAATATTTATAAACCTTAAGTAATAACTAGTAATAATATAGACCTAACTTAATAAACAAGTGTAGAAGTTATATTAGCAAGAGTAGTAAACCTTAGTATTACTATAGTAGACTTAATCTATACAAGATTTACTACTTCCTCTATATAACTTAACATAGGGACTATCTTAATAAGGTAATAGTCTATTATCCTTCTCTGCCTATTATTAATTATAGTAGGAACCCTTTACTTGCTTATACACTAATCCTATAGAACCCTAAGGCATAGGATAGCTACTACTAATTAAGAGTAGTACTATTAGTAACTATCTTTCTCCTTAGTAATTAGGTACCTTAACTAAGATTATTACTAATAAATCTAAGTATACTAGTAAAATATATAATATATTTAATATTAAGTTAAACTTATTCTATAATAACTATAGTAAAATTAGTATTAAGAGACACTAAATAGTATTAGCCTTCTTGTTAATACTTAAAGGTAAGGCTTTTACCTTTTATTTTACCTAAATTAGCAGTAGGAATATCTAAGACCTTACTACTATAGTTACCTAAATAAGAGCTTACTTTAAGAGCCTTAAAGCTATTTAGATATACTTTACTAAGTAGCAAAATACTACCTTTTACTATATTATATATAATAACCCTAAGAAAAGTAAGCTTAAAGTGCTTAAGAAGCTTATTAATAGACTTACTTTTATCTAATAAGTGCTACCTAATAGCTACTATAATAATAAAGTCCTTTAATCCTAGCTATTAAATACTTACTCTAGAGTTTATAAGTATAAATTATACCTATTTAATCTAGCGCCTTTATTAGAAGAAGTCTATAACTAACTGCAGTTATTAGTAAGTACTATAATAAAATATAACAACAAGGTTAGCTAGTACTAGGTAGACCCTAATAATTAATACTAGGTTAACTACACCTACTATAGCTAAGGGCATAACTAGCAGTTTAGTAATAACTATAGTAATAGTAACTATTATAGCAATAATAATAGCAACTATAATACTAAGAAGTACTATATTTACTATAAGCCTAGTTATTAGTTAATAAAACACACTACTAATAAGTAACACAAGGTATATTAATAATTTAAAAACAACCACTAGGTAAAAGACTCTTTACTAACTGCGTATTAATCCTTTTTTACTAGCTATAAAGGCAGTTACCTACAGGAAGAAGAAGATAATAAAGATAACAAGGACCTTAGTTACTACCTTTAAGGTAACTATACTCTTAAAAGCAGTAAAAATAAACCAGAAGGTAATACCTTTTATACCTCTACTATATTCTTTAGTAGTACTACCTTTAGTAGTAATAAGCTTACCTTTAGCCTAGCTAACTAAGTAGTCTATTACTAGTTAACAAAGGATAACCTTAGTGTAGTATTATTAGATCTAGCTACCTCTTTTATATTAAATTATTACTTATTAGGCACCTTTTAAGGCATTTTGCCTAATATAGGCGTAGTAACCTTCTCTACTACTAGTTACCTATAAGTAACTATGTTATAGTAGATCTAACTATTAGTAACTATTAATATAGCTACTACTAGCTAAGTAAAGATCTAGTTTAGTAGTAGTAACACTATTTACTTAAAGAGCACTATTATAGTTAGTACACTATTTAGGCCTATTACCTTTTATATAATGCCTATAAATATACCCTTCTTGCTTTACCTAGTAGATATAGATTAACTACTTATTTACTTTAATAACCTTATAAATACTCTTTAATAAGGTAATATTATAGTACTAGTTATATAAAAATAGGGGTATTTATAGATACTCCTTAGCCTACCTAAACGTAGCCTTACTAGTTACTACTTAACTAATGTAGAGTTATAATAACTTTACTAATAATTTAGGCACCTATTAGTCTACTACCTTTACAAGGTCCTTTATAAGGCTAGTTATAAGGTTAAGGTTAAGGCTATTAAGCACTTAACTAAATACTACTATTACTGCTAGCTCTATAGGAAGGCACCTTTATAATTTAAATTTACCCTGTACAACAACTGTTCTTTTAACTATAAGGTTATTATTAACGTTATATACCTTAAAGGTAACTAACTAGTTCTTTATATTATTAATACTATAACTACCTTTAATATAGTATACTTTCTTTATAATATTTCTATAAAGACTATATAAGAGGCACTTTATTGCTACTAGATTAACGTCTACTAAGGACCTCTAGACTAGATTATTACTAACGTAGGCAGGAACTTTACTATAACTAAATTTTTACGTAAAGCCTATATAATAGGCGTTAAAGTTAAGATTATCCTTATTAAGGTACACTATAGCGTTAAAAAGGTTAAATAATACTATATAGTGCTCTAATAGGCCTATAAAATTATACGTAAAGAGTACTTAACTACTAACTATAAATTTATCCTTTAGAGTATAGTTAAGGTAGTTAATAACACTATAGGCCTTAATAGCCTTATGCTAACCCTCTTAGTATTTAGTGCTTACCCTTATATAACTACTAACTCTGCCCTTTTACCTAATATTATCTAATAGGCAGCTATTATCTAGAAGGCCACTAATAACCTCTACAAGAGCTATATAATGCACTAAGTTTATAAGGCACTTAAGGTATATAATAGCCTAGATACCTCTGCTGTTAAGGACCTACTGTTAGGTAGTAAGGTATAAGTATAGCGTAAGAAAGGTAAATAGTCTAGCCTATACTACCTACTATCTATTAATAGTAAGAATTATACTATTAATATTAATAGCCTATATAACTTCTATTCTACCTTAGTTAAACCCTACTACACTAAGAAAGAAACAGGTAAGCCTACTAACGTAAATCCTTAACCTAACTAACCTATAGATGCTAACTACACTAGTAAACGTGTAAAGGATACTATTATTATTACTATAAGGACAAGAGCACTTGTCTAAACTATAGCCTCTCTTCCTCTGTAGTGTACCTATAGGCAACTATATAAGACTCTAGTTAATATACTACTACAGGAAATAGATAAACCTCTCTCTGCTATCTTCTTCTTTACTAAAGAAGAAGCTAACCTAGCCCTTGTATAATAACTATATAACTAAGGCGTTATTACTACACCTAGTAAGCCCTTTAAATAGTTAGGTAAAAGCAAGATCTAAGGCCTTATTAACTATAGCGTATTTAAGATTATTATATATAATCCTTCTATTTACTAGGGCTATGTTTTTAAATCTTGCCTTATTAATAAAGTTAAAGGTAAAAATAATAAGCTATATAAGAAATTATAACTTATAGTATAAGGTTATAGTAATAATAGTAAAGAAACTTTACTAGTTTAGTTACTTATAATTTAGAGAGTTAGCTAGTATATAATTCTTATACTTACCTTTTCCCTTATAGCTAATAGTAAAGTAATATAGCTATAAGATATAATATAGGCCTATATATAGTTAACTTTATAACTTAACTATACTATCTATATATAACTTCCTCTCTAAATCTATAATTACTACCTTTAAGGCACTATTATAAAGGTTATAAAGCTATTATATAGCCTTACTAAAGTAAGTACCTATTAGTAAGTAATATATAACTACTACTACTATAAGAAGCTTAATATAGTTACTACTTTATATAACCTATACTTACTCCTTTTATCTATAAAAAACCTTAACTTTATAATAATTAGAATATAAATAGATAATATAATTAGCCTAACTAGTGTTAATTTCTTTAACTATAAAGATAATAAGCTTACTAAGGTAAAGCTTCTTATAAAAAAGAAAATTTTACTTATAGAGAATAAACCTCTAGTATTTAACAAAGGAATTATCTTATTAACTTTAGCTAAAGACACCTTTATTACACTTTACTAGAAGGGCTAAGGCGTAAAGCTAAGACTTATTAACAAGAAATTACCTATAGCCTAGTAAGACTATGTCTAGTAGTATACTTAAGGCATATATATTACTTTTATCTACTAGCCTAAAGCATGCTTTAACCTATCTACTATAGCTTAGTATAAGAAGCTAGACAGTAAAGCTATTTAATAACTTAACTAAAGAATCTAGTAGTAAATAAACACACTTAACTATAGCCTTACCTTTGTTCTCTTTAACCTACCTAACGTAAAGCTCTTTATATTTATTAATAGATCTTTTACTAATAATTATAACTTAACTTTATAGTTAGGATTTATTATCCTCTTTACTAATAAAAAGGTTAATAACTAGTAAGGTAAGTTTACCCTCTGTAGTAATATCCTCTATTTCTTATTAACTAAATCTAAATAAGTAATATAAAGTGTTTTTATATTAAAAGTCTATAGTATAGTTATAGGCGTTAATATAGTGTACACTTTCTCTATAACTATTATAATAGTAGTAAATAAGCTTAGTAACTTATTAATCCTTACTATTACCTACACTAACTTATACTTACTATATAAGTACCTAGTAAAGTTAGGTACTACCTATAAAAAGCGCTTAATAATTAATATTATAGCACTATAATAATTATATAAGTAATATAAGCTCTTTAAGGTATAATAGATCTATAGTAATAATAACTTTACTAATAGGTTTATAAAGTCCTTACTAAACTAAGTACTTAAGAGTCTTATCTTTTATAATAAGGTAAAGATATAAATAAAGGGATAAGTTATATAAATATAATAGGAAATAATAGGAATAATAGGATATAGGATAATAGACACTTAGAGGAGGAAATAGGTTATATAAACTATATAGATTAATAGTAGTTAAATCTATCTAACATAGGTATATACCTCTAATAGCTATAGCTAAAAAGAAATACACTTAAATAAGATAGTGTAAGCTTACCTCTGCTAAGTAAATAGATAAATAAATTTACAGTAGTATATAACTATAAAAAGTATAATACTTTTGCTCTTTTTGTTTTTATTATATTTTTAGGCTTTTTAGGAGGAATAGGAGCACTAGCGACTTTTACTACACAAGAAAGTTGCTAGTGTTAGCATATAGGTGATATAGCTAGAGGCAGTAGGTCATGTGATATACTGCCTACTAGCAGAATCCTTTACCCTTGCCTATACGCAAGGGTGCTACTACACTTGTGCTCCTACTTCACCTTGTTAACTAGTTAACTATTAATAACCACGAATTTGACCACCTTTTCTTAACCTTCGTGATATCACAAGATACAGGATCCTATCAATTAGCTAGTGAAAACCAACAGTTACTATCTACAACTTAGATAACTCCTACACAGATTGCCTCTTTGCGGGTCTAGGAGAGACTATATATGCCTATGTGTCCTACTTTAATAAGCTTGTAAAGCTGCCTAAAGGCTTTGCAGTTATTGCAAGCACAAAGAACAGTGAATATGCTGCAATTGCCTATTAGACTAAGCTGATTTATGGCGTTTAATTTTACCCTAAGCTTAAACACACGCCAAGAGGTAGTAAGATCCTTTATAACTTTAGTGTTTACATTTATAGAGTATAACCTAACTAGGTTATAAGTAATTTTATTAACAAGGAGATTATCTATATTAGACATCTTGTTAGCAATTGTGCCTAGGTTATTAGCGCTGTAAGCAGAGGAGTTGTTTCCACTGTCCCTGCCAAGCTTATGAAGGAAGCAATTGGCGATCGCTTCTATGTGATCCTGGTCGACAACGGGGTTATGTGTCTTAACGAGTGTAAGCAGGCGAAGGAGACACTCTAGAAGCACCTTGGCATCAACCTGACGGTTGTTGATGGAGCTGAACTGTTCCTTAGTTGTCTCAAGGGCGTCACAGAGCCGGAGAAGAAGCGCAAAATCATTGGTGGAATATTTATCGATCTATTTGAGAAGGAGGCACTCTGTATTGAGAAGGAGGCAGAGAACACTCCCAATGCCGGCGCGGTCAAGTGGTTCCTTCAGGGCACTCTTTACCCCGATGTTATCGAGTCGCTTTTGTTCAAGGGCCCTAGCGCAACCATCAAGACCTATTACGATGTTGGAGGTCTTCCTGACACGCTTAAGTTGAAACTCATTGAGCCGTTGCGGGAACTTTTCAAGGATGAAGTCCGAAGTTTCGGCAGGGAGCTTGGTATCCACGACGATCTCATCATGTGACACCCTTTCCTGGGCCCCGGAATCGCCATCAGAATTCTTGGGGAGGTCACACCGGAGCACGTGGCAATTGCCTGAGCTGCTGACAACATCTTTATTTCGATGATCAAGGAAGCTGGCATCTATGATCAGATGTCCCAAAGCTATGCTGGCCTGGATACTAACAGAGCCGTGGGTGTACAGGGTGACGCTAGAGTCTATGGCTACATTGTTATTCTCTGCGCTATATAGACTATAGACTTTATAAGTTGTGAGCCTTTTGAATTCGACTTTAACCTCCTGAAGAAGTTCTTGACATGCATCGTTAATAAGGTTGAGGGTGCCTCGCGTGTCGTTTACGACATTACTAGTAAGCCGCCTAGAACAATTGAGCTTGAATAGAACATATTTAGACTATATAAAGCATGTAGTTGTATTTAGAAACGACAAACAATAGGCCAAGGTGGTGGTGGTACGGAGAACCAAGGCGGCCTGTTGGGGAATGTCCGTTGAGAATAGATTTTGTTTCGCACCAACCACAAAAAAGAAGAAGAAAAAAAAAAATTGTGTTCAGATCTAACTTTCTAGGTCAAATCTAGGGTGTGTGTCACAATATATAAGCTACTATTACTGCCTATGTAACTAACGTTATCGTTTTGTTACGTGACACATGCATAACCGGTACGACGACCCCCCCCTCTTTGAACGCAATGACACAAGCTGATATCCCGAGCAGAGAAGGCGTCGGTCTGTCCCTCCTCTTCAAGGCAGTTAAGGACTGGGAGCAATGGCCCCTGTACCTCATCGGCTTGACGGCATATATCCCGCCCTCGCCGCCCAGCACGTACTTATCTTACATCCTGCGGCAACTGGGATTCTCCACGTTCCAAGCAAACCTCCTCGCCATCCCCTCGCAGTTCTTGTTTGCGATCAACCTCTTGATGATATCCTGGGTGTCTGGGGGGGGGGGGGGGGGGGGGGGGCCAAGGAGCGGGCCATCGTCTCGTCCATCTCGAACTGGTGGATCTTCCCGTGGCTCGTGGCGCTCGTGGCGCTGCCGGCCTCTACCAGCACCTGGATCAGGTATGCCCCGCTGACGGGCCTGCTGAGCTACCCGTACTGCCACGCGATCCTCGTCGGCTGGAACGCCAAGAACGGCAACGCGGTGCGGACGAGGGCCGTCAGCGCCGCGCTGTACAACATGTTTGTGCAGGCGGGCAACATCGCGGCGTCCAACATCTACCGCGACGACGACCGGCCGCTGTACCGCCGCGGGAACAAGATCCTTCTCGGCATCTGCTGCTTCAACATTGTGCTGTTCTACTTGGTCAAGGCCTTTTACATCTGGCGCAACAAGGTCCGCGACAGGCGGTGGAACGCGATGACCAAGGATCAGCAGGAGGACTATACTCTCAACACCACCGACGAGGGACAGTAGAGACTCGACTTCCGCTTCGCCCACTGAAGCTTTCCGAATGATGGGAGGCCGAATCGCACGCTTTGTCTTGGAGCCGTTTAACCCGCCAACGCTATCCAGAAGGATCCGAGATACGCCTCCCACCCAGAGGATGCAGGAGGAAGAGGGGCTATCGCCGTCTCTGGAGTACGACGTTTTTGGGCACTCTAGTCAAAGTTGTAAGAGTTTTAATAAATCAAATACTGATTCACCAAAGTGTCTCTTGGTTGCATGTTGTTGCGTGCGTGCGTGCGTGTGTGTGTGTGTGTGTGTGTGTGTAAAAGCGATGATGGTTGCTTATTTCTGCCAAGTTGTTTTAAATGCCACAGGCGTCTGGAAGAATGATCATGTAATGACTCCTTGCTTGGAATTTACGGATACATACTCCTATTATCAGGCAACAGCTTTCAGCCAAGATGGTGGTTCAAATCTTGGTCAAATCACCAACATCACCAGCAACCGGATTACGGCTGCATCGAGCATCACGAGGTGTGTGAGCGCCGAAAGCCCACGTGGACCAACTAGACCACGTCAGAGGGTGGAACAACACCTTTTGGGCCACGCACGATGAGCATTCTTCCTGGGACAAGAGTGCCCCGGACCTCGTTGGACGTCAACCAGGAATTGTCCCGTCACCGGCGACTACTTTGCCTGGATTCTGGCGCAGGAAAACGAGCCCCCCTTTTCCCGGAGTCGCCGACTTCTGGCGCACAGCAGTGGGACGTGGCGACGTTGGGTTTCCGTCCAACGCCGAGATCATCGAGTGGCACGAATGGGCGCGTTCGAACAGGACAGGACTGGCTGGCGACGTGAGCCGCGCCAGGCCCTGCTTGCCAGAGGTGTGTCGATCCGTCGGCTCAAAGGTTGATGGAGGTCTCGCAGGGTTCGGGGTAAGTCTTACGATTTGGTTTGGGTGGTCTGCTACACGATCGTCACGTCCTGACATGTCCCAGTTGCTCGCCTCGTACGGCTTTGAAGTCATCATGTTGACAGTCTACTGCCTGTTTGCGGTCTGGCGGTCCTTCAGCCGCCGCAAGCCTGCAGACAACACGTCCGAGAAGCCCGACGCGCCCGCCCCGGATGACAAGCTCGGGCTCTCCGCGCGCGTCGGCGAGGTCTTGCGGTGCACGACTTACGACTTCTTCACCGCCGCCGCCTTCCTCTCCCTCGGGATCCAGTCCGCCGTCATCCACTTGTAGACCACGCCAACCGGCCGCCGGCCCAGCTCGTCCCCACAGCTCATCGTCTCCGCCGCCGCCTTCTACCCGCTCGCGGCGATGCTCCCGCTGATCCTCGCCTCCGCCCGCCGCGGCTGGCTGAAGGGCGCCGTCCTCGTCGCCCTCTTCGTCATCCACACGGCGGCGTGGGTCCTGTGCATGAACAGCACGCAGGTCGAGTACTTTGAACGAAAGGCGCGCGTTCGACTTCTGCACGCAGAACCACCCGTCACAGGCCGCGGTCGAGGCGGCCATGTTCACCATGGCCGCCACGGTGTGGATGCCGCCCCTCTTCGGTCTCTGCCTGAGCGTGGCGCTCTGCTTCTATCGGTGCAACAACCGCAAGATGTGGCAGGTCAAGTGGCTCAACAAGGTCGCCGGCTGGGCCATGGTTCTGTATGCTGCTGCTAATTTCATCTGCATGTGGGGTGCCTGGATCGTTCTCGTTGTCTTCTTCAACAGTACGCCGCCGAGAGCTGAGGATGTCTGGAGTCTAGGCCAGGCCCTGGCCCTCACCCCATGGATACCGGTGATACTGGAGTTTGCCTCCGTTCTGTTCTGTAAGTCATACGTACCCGTCCCTTTGGGGAGGGCTTCGCTGACATGTTCCAGTGGGGGCTGAGGCTGGCTTCGCCGGCCGCCTGCCCCTTGAGTTCCGGGTGGTGCGGCAGGAGAAGGCTCTTCGTCAACAAGAGGACGCCGCTTTCTTGGACGATGCTCGTGTTTAACAGGCGGAATGACGGAGCAGATCCGAACGGGCGTGGAAGAGTGGCGGGGGGGGGGGGTGTTTGAGAACTTGAGAAGCACGACGAGGACCGGGGAGGGGGGATGAGGGGGCCTGTTGTTCGACCTGGATTCCGGACAAGCTTGCTCCTGAGCTTTCGTGGCTTCGCCAAGATCGCGGCGTCAGGACCAGCGCCGCACCTCGACACATCGAGTGCCCGTGTTTTCAAGGCATCGAATGCACAGTAGAGTCCATCTTGGGATGTTCTGTGTGGACCCCGGAAGCCCAGTTGCGAAAAGATTGTTGTCTTGAGTGAAACCCCGATCTCGAGAACCTTGAAAGACAGCACGTATCGCAGCTCACGACGGTCTCTAGCAAAGCCCCCCCAGCCGCTTTTCTTCTTCCTGTTTCTTTTTTCTGAGAAAACAAACGCTCAATCACCCACTAGAACGAGACTTCGCGCCGGCGCCATCCAGACACTTCCACGCCCCCCCCGTCTCGGCGACTCTCTCGTAGCGTTGCGAACGCGTCTCAAACAGGTAGGAAAAGATGCTCTCCGTCTCGCCGCCGAGTACCGGCAGGTCGACGACGTCCTCCTCCAGCAGGACCCAGCCGGCGTCGTCGACGAGGTCCCAGAACTCGTTCTCGTCCGGGTGCCTCTTCTTCCACGCGACGTAGACGTGGGTCCGCACGGGGCCGTCGCTGCTCGCCCGGGAGCCGCTCCGGGAGATGTTGTGCACGTGGACCGCCGTCCAGGTGTTGATGAGGGAGGGGAGCACGTCGACGTTGTAGGTGCAGTCGCTCATGGCGATCAGGTCCCACGCCTTGGCGCTGGCGAGCGGGCCCAGCTCGCCCGTGCGGCCGTCGTCCCAGTCGAGGTTTTCGTACTCGGGGCGTATGGACGCCGTGCCCGCCGTCGCCAGGCGCGCGATGTTCGCCCTCGCGCGCTGCTCCGCCTCAGGCAGGTCCGTCATGAGGATGCTGCTCTTCCCCTCTGGGCCCTCCTCCCTCGTCATGATCTGCGCGAGCCCGTTGCCCAGGATGCCGACGCCGCAGCCGAGCTCGAGGACGTTGAGCGGCTGTCCCCCAAACAGCAAGCCGTGGAGGCGGTTCATGCGCCAGGGGCGCTTCGCCGCGTCGTGGCCGTCCCGGTCGTTGGCGAGCCAGAGCCTCGAGATGGCCGTCAGCCCGGCGTCCCAGATGTGCCTTGCGATGCTCTCGCCGATGTCCTCCTCGATCTCCACGAACGGCTCCGAGTCGCGGCCGCCGTGCGCGAGCCTCCGCACGCACGTCGTCGGCGCCTCGCTGTGGTCCGGTGTCTGGACGTCGGCCCACACGGGCATGACCTTGCCGCAGTCACCGTCGAGTCCGGCAAAGACGACGTCGGTCGCCGCCTCGGCCGACTGTCTTCCGCTCGCGCGGACGAGGAGCCTCAAGGGCCCCAGGCCGGGGTTCGGGAGGGCCGGGGTGGTGAGGTGTTGGGCAGGAATGTCGGCCTTGAGGACGCGCATGCCCGGCATCCAACGCAGGACCTTTTCCGCTGCCAAGATGAAGGGGTCGGCTTTCGGCTGCTCCGAGGGCCGTTCCCAGCCGGCGCTGACCTTGAGCTTGACGGGCTCATGGTCGTCCGGGTTCAGGAAGGAGTCGCCGAGATCCGTGGTGACGGTCAGGACGACGTTGAGAGACCACGGGTGTTTCCTGGCCTTGTCGTATGTGAGCTTGGGGGCTCTGAGGAGTCGGATGTAATGCATCGGGGTCTTTGTGCCGGGTCGGGTCGTAATGTTGAACTCATCTCCTGGTGGAGGGTTATGTGTGTCTCTGCCGCTGGTGAAGAAAAAGTGAGCGTGTGCTTAGTCATCGGCCATTGACCAGTGAGATGCGTTGAAAGCATCACTTTGAGTGTTCCGTGCTTCAAACGGTACTCAAGCAAGCAAGACGATGTTTATGACTCTTGAAGGGACTAATAGCATGATGGCCAATCCGTGAGTCGAAAGTGTCTTGGTTGTTGGAATGGTCTTCATGGTCGAACGCCCTCGGAGGTGCTGTAGATAAGATACGAATGCTAGATGGGAAAAGGCCAGGCAGTGAAAGATTCACGCCCAACGGACTGAACTTATGGCTTTCGAAACCTTCCAACCTGACGATTCATCCAAGGGACCCGGAGCTGGAGAGGAGACACGCCAGTTGCTATGCTAAGCGTCTCGGTGCTGTTGAGGTCAGTAATTGCCGCGGCACTAGGTCCACGAATGCATATCGCTTGATTACACGGGACCCGGCTGCGGCTTGGCCGCTCGTCTTTCTGGTGAGAAGCAAAGTCGAATGCAGCTGCCGGGGCATGAACCACAATGTCTGGGGCTTTCACCGTCTTCTCCCGCCACCCATCGCAATTCCGGTCCCGAACTACGACCGGCGACCGGCGACCAGCGACCGGCGACCAGCGACCGGCGACCGGCGGCACTGTGGATCCGGGTCCTCCGTGGGCTTTCAGGAATCTGCCCCGCGCGCGGTCTACCAAACTAAAATTTCTCTCTCCGCCAACTCGGTCAGGTTCACGAGTACGGCTTCAAGTACCAACCCGTCAACCCGGAGACGCTCCCACTTCCAAGCTCTCAATGCAGGGAGGGAACGAAAACGAGGCGATCAAACGACGCCTCAAATCTCTCATCTCCGATTCCCCCACAACACACACACACACACACACACAGAGAGAGAGAGAGAGAGAGAGAGAGAGAGAGAGAGAGAGAGAGAGAAACGCGGAGGTCGCCGCGACCGGACGCAGCAACAACTCATCCCGCGCTACGGACGCCTCCGATGGCAGGGAGGTCGGCCCCTTATCCCCCGCGACTGTTCGTGACAAGCATCACGGCTGATTAAAAACACCTCGGCGCGCATCAATCTCTGATCCACAACGAATGCGATCGAGAACCTGCACTTACACTCACTCATGACCCTTTACGCAGTAGTAGTCTTCTAGCTCAACCACCACAGCCAGCCAGCCAGCCAGCCAGCCAGCCAGCAACCAACTACCCCAGCATCGCTCTAATCGCAGGCTACCGGCTCCAAGCATCTTTTGCAATGGCCGGCGAAGCTCTCCCGTCCCGCGACCCGGAGACCGTCCTCTCGGCCCTCCTCTCCCTCACCGAGAACCGCATCGTGCCCCTCACCCGCCGCGGCGTCAGCTCGGGCAGCAAGCTCTTCGGCGCCGCCATCCTCTCGTCGACGACGCTGGAGCCCCTGACGGTCGCCACCAACGACGAGCGCGCCTCGCCCCTGCTCCACGGCGAGATCAACTGCATCCAGCAGTTCTTCACCGACGCCTTCCCGGACCCGGCGACCCGGCCGAGCCCGCGGACCGCCTGCGTCTTCTTCGCCACCCACGAGCCCTGCTCGCTCTGCCTCAGCGGCATCGCCTGGGCCGGCTTCCGCGAGGTCTACCACCTCTTCACCTACGAGGACAGCCGCGACCTGTTCGCCATCCCGCACGACATGGACATCCTCGAGGCCGTCTTCCGCGTCCGCGCCGAGGGGGAGCCCGACGACGCCCTCGCCCGCCGCCCCCTGTACAACCGCGACAACAAGTTCTTCACCGCCCGCAGCCTCGCCGACCTGGTGGCCGAGCTGCCCGAGGGCGAGGCGAGGGCGCGCTGGGTGCGGGAGACGGAGCGCGTCAAGGGGCTGTATAACGCGCTGAGCGACACGTACCAAGAGGGGAAGAAGGCCGGTGCGACGAGCTCCAGCGTGTGGAAGTAGTGGCGGCGGCGGCGGCGGCGGCGGCGGCGGCTTTCATCTGTGGTCCGGTGAAGGCCAATGCTGACGACCGCTGCTGTATCGGCGCCGTCGACGGGGCCGGCCGGTCGATTCCCAGCGTGCGTGTTGGATCGAATGCTGGAGTCCAGGTCCAGGTCCAGGGCTAGCAGCGACATCGTCTCCCCGCCGGTGAGCCGCCGACGTCGGAGGCTAGGACTATTCGCAGTTATCGTTTGCAAGACTTGTTTCCCTTTTTTTTTTTTAGTCGTGAAGCAAAAGCCACGCCAAAAGCGACTCTAAATCTGGCCCCATTCCTCCCGTAGACAAGCAAGCAAGCCATGCACACCCCCTTCATAGTCTAGGTCAAATGGAATCCAAATCAGCTAGCCCTCTTCACAAGGGAAGGCCACTTCTCTAGGTCGACCGGCCGCGCCTCAACCGGCCACGAGTCCTTCGTGATGGCCCGGCCTGGAAAAAGGATTCCTGCAATGATCCACGGCGCATGCGGCACCAGCCATTACAGAGCGGGGGGGGAGGCGGGCCGCGAACAAGTGACCGTCAGCAGCAAGGTAACGCACCTCTCGCCCTTGAACATGAACATGCCTAGGGACCCTTATGATAACCCTCCCCGTTTGCTGTTGAAGATTCCTTTGCTCTTCCTGACAGCCGCAGCCAGAATCAGGAAGGACACATCGCACTGTGCCGGCGATCCAGCGGTCGCGGGCCAAGCACATTACGGCGGATATGCATGGCGGGGTAACCAGAGACCAGGGAGGTGGGGGGGGCGTTCGTCGGCGAAGCGGTACGGACGAAGCCCCTGTCGATGAAGTACTATACTCCTACCATGTATACCTCGAGTTCTTCACGCCCCCCTCCAATGGGGTCTTCAGCGGAGCAGAGGAGCAGATGTCATTGGTCGGAGGACACGTCGCTCCCATGTGGCCCCGCGGCGGCCGTCAGAACAGGTTGCCACCCGGTACGAAAAAGCAGGCGCATGCGAGGTTTGCACAAGCGTGTCCTCGGGCGCGTGGGAGGGCACGCTGCGGAACGGGCTCGCCCGGAGCGATGGCCTGGCGAGCGAGGGTACAGATGGTGAGTGGTGGTGATGGTGATGGGCTTCTTCTGCTGGCCGGATCGGCCGGACGCTCGGCGCCTCGTTTCCCAGCTGGGAGGTGGACGGCAAGATGTTTGCCGGTATCACGAGCCCTGCTGCTGATGCTGCTGCTGCTGTGCGAGCCATGAGAACGCACGATGGGCCGATTCACTGGCGAGAACCAAAGAGCACAATAGAACACAGTAGAGCAGAGAAGTGAAGATGGGAATGCGGGAAACCCCTCCATTCTCCTCCCCACTCCCCCCCCCCCCCCCCCCATGCATGACATTGGATGGCGGGACAGTTTGTCCGCGACTGACAACCCCTCCTCATCCTCCCCTCCCTGTCGCCATGTCTCCTTGCTCTCCAACAGCCCCTCCTCTTCAGACCGCGTGCATCAAAACCCCCTCAATCCGTAGTATCCCGGCGGGTGTTGTTAACACATGCTTAGCAGCGAAAAAACCCCTCTCCCGCTAACCAACGACGCGACAGCCGCTGCCTGAGCAGGATGAGCAGCAGCCAGAGAGGGAGGAGGGGAGTGTGCAGCGGACGTGATGGGTTTCATTTCTCGAAACCCGAAAGAGGCGATTCGGTAACCACGATCCCGGGGGTGGGGTGGGTTGGGTTGGGTTGGCTCAGCTCAGCTCTGCGTTCGAGTGTGATGGTTCTGTGATGGCCTGTGATGGCGATCGATGGGCTTCTGGCTGCCATAAACCTGGACGAACGCTTGGAACGGGCCGTCACAGCACTGGCAGCAGGCCTGTTCCATGCCCTTCTTCGAGCCACGTCTAGTGTACGGATACCGGGGGAATATCTCAACACCCCCCTGAAGGTGCGCGAGAAATGACGCGAGCCCGCAAACGTGTGCGCCGCACTTGGTCAGCCTGCCATTCTCATGCCCCAAAATAACGGCTTGCTTCGGAATACCGTGGGCTGATTGCTAGACTGCACGGCGTCTATTCCCTGCGTGTGCCGCGCTCTGCATCGAGGGAGGAGAGTGGTTTGGTTCTGCACTGCACACGCCAGTGCAGCAGCACACGCTAGTGACTGCAGTTGGAGGAGGGGAATGGGGGGGGGGGGGGGACTATACCAACCCGGGTTTCGGGTGTTGGTTTAGCAACTCACGGGCACTACGGGCGGGTTCGTTGGATGGGCAGAGTCGGTCGCACCGCATGTCAGAGCAAAGTGGTCAGCTTATGTCGGAGCCTCGGGTTGGTTCAGCCTGTCTGTCTATCTGTCTGTCTGTCTGGCTATCGTTGAGCGTGATTGCTCGCTGTATGTGCCCGTCTGACAGAGGCTGAGCCGGTTGCAATGACTCTTACTGTTCGCTCTCCAGTTGACGGAACTGAGCGGGCACGTCCTGCTCGGCCGTGGCAGAAGGACGGGGGGACTGTCAGAGTTGGCCACGTCTTGACACATCATACCGGGCGATGATGTCAGTCGCGCCAGGCGTTGGCATCTTTGACACGAACGGGCGGGCAGAGCAGGGCTCACGTGTGGCATTACGGATAGAAGGAATAGGTACTCCGTAGACAGCTTTGCCTGCCAGCCTCTCTCTGCCCGGTCTCATCAGCCTGTCCGGCGCCGATCCCTCGTTCAGTGGGCAACTTGCCCCGGCTGTTTCCTTTGGACAGGTCCTGGACGGGGTCTCTTGATAGGCCATCGATCTCAGGCCTGTACGTGATGTGATTGGGTTCCCGTCCCGCAGAGAGAGGGCAATCGCATTCCCCCTCCACTACTGTAGTGTACCGATTTCGGCTTCCAATTTCACTGCAACTTTAACCCCCCAAAGGCTTTCCAATGCCAAGACCCAGACTGAGTGGCGTTGGCGCACTGCAACCTGAACCTCCTCTTGGGACTGTCCATGGCGGCCATGTATCACTGCTAGTATCGTTATGACTACGGAGTATCTGCGCACCAGTGCGGCACAGCCGCTGAGCAACTCACTGTGATCCATAATGGCCAGTCGGGGTGCTCAGGCCCTCAGTCCCATCACCAAGAAAGAAGCCGGGAGATGCCCCCTATGATGAGTGTTGCCTAGTGTACGGATATGACGAGGGAGAAGCCCGCCTCTTCCCGCCTCGATCCCATCCGATGACTGACTGACTGACACGGAACCTCAGCTTGGAACGACTCATATGCCATTCCCGCCAGTCATACTGCGTCTTCCCGTTTACATCCCACAGCCCTCCGCCGCCGCCTCGTAAGGCGACCGACCATCCTACACCGTGGCAATCTGCGGCCCACGGACGGGCCCATCTGGCCCCCAAACCTTGCCCGTCATCTTGCGCCTCCCGTCCAGATCCGAAATGTGCACTTTGCAGGCTAAAAAGCGCCAAAAGTAGCCATCGAATCATGGAGCAAGCCACGGTCACACCAGAGGTTACCTCGCTTTCAGGAGTACCTCGCATCTTCTTCACGCAACCAACTGATGTATTCACAGCATCCAGCCATCTCACTGCGGACCGGGGGGTCGGGGGGGGAGAAGATTAATCACAAAGTGACTACACTGAGACCTCCTTACCCAGCAAACAGCCTCCAGCCCCCCCCCCCCCTCTCGGAGGGGCGTCTAAGAAAAGAATACCAACGACCACCTAAATGAACACACGGCGTGAAAAGCAAGCTGACAGCTAGCAGCTAGGGTGGGGGGGGAAACGTGGTGTGCCGTGTGCCCTGACTGCCCACTGCCATGCCACATCGAACGACAACGCCGCTGATTGGCGGCCGAAGCGCCGAGCAGTTCCCGGCACATCTCGTCCCTGTTCTCTCTCTCTCTCTCTCTCTCTCTCTCTCTCTCTCTCTCTCCTCTCCCATCCGGGACGACCCTGTCCTGTCCCCCAGCCTCGCCGCGTTTCTTTTTCTTGTCCCGCAGCTGCCTATATCGTGGCCGCATCCAACAGACATACCTACAGGCCCTGGGATCAAGGTGACGGATCGGATGGGAAGAAGCAAACGGTCACCGCACGCTCTCTCACACAATCACACGCTCACCATTCACACACACCCACACACACATACACACCTCCTATCCCCTCCCCCCTTCCAGCCCGCCGTGCCGCCCAAACGCCCGCCGCCGGAGACAAGAAGCGCCTCCATCACGGACTCGTCACACTGAGCGCTCCCGCTGCGACGCTCGGGGTCACTGGCCCGTGCCATGTACGTCCCTGTTTCCCGTCTACTTTCCTGTCACGCAAGGCTACAAGTGGCGGTAGGGGTTTGCCAAAAAGGTGCACAAACCAATCTAGATTGCTCCCGTCACCCCCCCCCAATATCGCCCCGGACGCAGGTGGACAGCGTTTACAACTCGGGTTGAGTATGCTTCCCGGCACGGATTTGGAATTGCGGTGGCACCCGGGCGATACCAAGAAGCAGTCACCTTTCTGCGAGATTCACCGTGTACCACGTTAAGCCGGCTCAGAGCACCGAAACAGGCGCTCGTATTGAGTGGTACGTCCGCGGTATTGTGGCAGTGCAGGGCCATCTCGTACACCACCACCTGGCCGTATTGGCAAAATACATCTCGAGCGTATTGGGTCGGCCTGCCGCCTCCTCGGCGGATACACGAGGCCGATCAACAAGAGTTCCCGTTCGAGCCTGCATCATGTAAACTGCGCGCCCAAGACATGTCTTGTTTGTCTACCAGGCCAGCGAGAAGAAGCCACCTTTATTCTATCGATTGATTGTATTCGGCGCGCCGCAACCGGATTGGAAAAAAAGAGCGGCGGTCCCACGCCGATCCGATCGGCACGGGCACACGGCCCCTTCAGCGCCGGCGTTTCGTCTCGGAGCACCGCTCGACCGGGTCTCCCCCCCAAACCCGCCTCTCTGTCTCAGCCTCCCGGAGGGCGTCATGAGTCACCTTCAGTGACTCGTGTGTAAAGACAGACAGACAGGTAGAGCCCGCGAGACTCAGGAGCTCCGCCTTCCCCCAAGAAAGACAAGGCCCAGCTGACGGGGACGAGTCTCAACCTGGGCCAGCGGCACATGACGTCCGTCGCGCAGGGGCGCCCGTCACCCGTGACGATGACTTGCCAACCTCTCGCCGCGCCTCCTCCCTTGCGGTAAATCTGAGCGACGGACTGAGTGACTAACTGACTGACTGACTGACTGACTGACTGACGCGGTTCCCGCCTCCGTGCAGGACGGCAAAGGACGCGCGCGAGAACACAGAGCACCACCATCCCGCGCGTGGTGTGCTGCTCGGACCGCCGCCGCAAGGCAGCAAACGCACGCACACTTGACGTGTAACATGCACAAAGCAAACAAAAAATCAGTCAAACGAAACGGCCGTGCCAACCTACCCGCTCGTTTGCTTTTTTTTTTCTTCTTCTTCTTCCTTCTTCTTCTCTTTTCCATCCCTTTTCCGTCTGAACCACGCCTCTTCCAAGGGAGCAATAACGTATCCTACAGCTGGCAGCCGTGCGGCGCAGCAAACGGCCCCCGAGATTGGACGCGCGCTCCCTGCCATACGAGACGCACACACATGGCCTATCACCCGGCCACCTGTCCCGTCCCGTGGGCAGAGCCTAGGTCGTCTGTGATTCCGCTGTGGCTGGCTGGCTGATTTGGAAACGCACAAAATCAGAAACTTGATAGGGGAGGGAACAAGGATAGAAATGAAAAAGGAAACGAAGAAGAAAAGAAGAATAGGAAAAAGAAAGAAACACGGGTCAGGAATTCGTCCCTCTCACATACCCACACACGCACTGTGAGATGGAAGCGAGACACAAACGCAGGGCACACACACGCCTGCCTGCCTCTCTCTCTCTCTCTCTCTCTCTCTCTCTCTCTCTCTCTCTCTCTCTCTCTCTCTCTCTCTCTATGCCTATGCCTATGCCTATGTGTGTGCCGCCGACCCGCGATCAAACCGCGATCCGCGCACGGCAAGACACCTTCCCGTTCATCATAGTACAACGCCTTTTTATTCTATTTCTTCCTGCCCACGCTAGTTACCATCTCCCTCTCTGAGCGAGCCGCCTTTTAGAGAGGAATTCCTCCCCTCCCCAAGTCGGATTACCTCCTCCCCCCCCCCCTCACCCACACATCGGAAGACGGCATCCGATGATATCGCCGAGGCAGAGGTCGGCGACGGGGAGGTTTGAACCCCTGTGGAACGTCAATCTGGGCCAGGACATGCCCGTTCGTCCCAGGCATGCCAGTCAGGTCTTCCAAAAACCAAACGTGAACCCCACCAGACTTGTCTGTCTCGACGCCTAACCCCATGTGTGTGTGTGTGTGTGTGTGTGTGTAACCGAGTTTTTCTGGTAGATGGAGAAAGCATTCCAGCGCGACCAGCCCAGAGCCTCACTCGACCTTCTTTGTATCGAGTCTCGCACTCATTTTGCTGTCTCGCAAGGAGGGGTGTATGTGTATGAAGATCCCCCCCTTCCTGACGAATGCCAGAGTTCGAGACAACTCAATACCCCCCTTGTGGTTGAAATGTTTTTTACTAGAGTGCCTTACCCTAGCCCGTGGCCAAAAGGGCTGTGATTACGCCATTCCCGAGTGCCAGCCGGCCTCGTCAGAAATGACGGGCAATATGCAAGTGATATGAGCCTCCCCAGAGGGTCCCCGCCGTGTCCGGGTCCCGCCTAACCCCCCCTCCGCGCCGGCCGCACCGCCTCTCCCTTCTCCTCTCCATCGCAAAGATAGAAACCCGTCCTTTTCGCGATTCCGTGCAATTAACAATACTAAAAAAGAAAAGAAAAACCGCCAGAGAACCGAGAAGTTTCCCTGGTGTGACGTCGTGCCTCGCGAACCCCCCCCCCCCCCTAGTCGCATAAACGTCGCGGTCCGTGGGGTCTGTGGAGAGGGACATATCGCGGAACAGGGAGGCTGGTCGTCGCCCAAGGATGATGACCTCATACCCTGAAGAAAGGGGGGGGGGCCTTGTCATTTTCGCGAACCAACGACCCGTTGCTATTGCTGTTGCTGTTGCTGCCGCCGCCGTCGTCGCAGAGCCTGGGAACCGTCCGTCGCGCACGGCCGACGTTCGTGGGTCAGGCCACTCAGTTCGTAGCGAAAGAAGAACCAGATGCAAGCCGCACTTTGTTGTTTATGAATGATACTGTTTAATGTCTGATTTCTAAACTACTCTCCGGCTCCCTCCGGCCCCGGAGCCAATGATAAGGAAAGGAAGGGGTATATCCAGCACTCCGTAGTCTTCCTGCTAGAAAAGAAAAGTGTTCGACTCCGCAATAATATCGAGTCGTGTGAACATGTTGTAATAGATGCGCCTCCAGTGCGGCCGAGAGATGTGTTGCAAGCTGCAATCCGAACAAGATGAAAACGAAAACTTCCCAAATCCCTTGCCTGTCTAAACCAATCAATCAAACAAGTCATCGCTGCGTCCGTGCAAGTCGACGACGGTATTACATATAAATGATGTTTCCCTGCTGCGCATAAACCGATGACGGTAAAGGCCAGGTCCAAAAGTGAACGGCCGGTCCTCCCGGCCAAAACAAAATCCCAGTTCCGCGCGCGTGCTGTTTCTTTCCCATGACTAGACCGTGGTCCAGTCTCGCGTAATGATCATGTCGCAACCAAAGCATGCTTTTGATGTCCATCCCCGCAACACACAAGGGCGATGATGCCGTGCGTTCGTTCGTTCGTAGTCGTTCTCGTTCCCGTGTAGGTTCGGGCCCGTGTGGTATCTTGGGTATCGCAAAGAAAAATCCTTGGTGTGTATCCCCGATGCATAATGGCTTGCGCCAGATTATGTTTATGGTGATGATAAAATAGAGAGAGAAAATCCAGATCCGGAGCCCAAGGTAGAAATGGATGAGGAAATACTCCCTAGGAAAATGAGATCCGGAAAACAAATTCCTAATCGTACAATCGGCAACTCCCTCCGTCGGTTCGATGTGGGTTTTCTTGATGTCGTTGTTATGATTTTTTTTCTTCTTTGTTAATGGTATAATGAGTACTCCCTGTCCTAGTGGCAGTGCGCGGGCAGTTCCATGGAGTGAAAGAAATCCGTCCTTGGCATGATTGAGGCAGATAAAAGAGACCAGGCAGGAAGTATCCATGGGGAGACAGGCATGTCCTCTATTTGGTCGGGTTCCGGAGAATGTCCTCACAGTTGGCATCGAATCTCAGGTTGAAGAGACGAACACCCTGCATGAAGCGCTCGGTCTTGTCCAGCTCACGCTCACGGCCAAACAGAGTCTCGACGAACTCAACACCGGCGTTCTTGCCGAGCTGAGAGTTACCCTTTTTGCTGGCAGCCTTGAGCATGGGCGACTCGCACGTCTTCAGCAGCTTGCGGAGCTTGTCTGTGAGGCGCTCGCCCGATTCGATAAAGTCATCGATCAGTTCCCTGTTCTCCTTGCAGCGGACGCGATCAACCGTCTCCTCAGCACGCTTGATCTTGCCGGCCAACTGGATTAGCAACAGCCAGAGCTCGCCTGCCATGTCTGAGATGGGAGTGGCAGGTCCGTGGTGGTAGACGGTCCAATCGTAGATCCACTTGCCCAGGGAGTTGGAGTCGAAGACACTGCCAAGCAAGAGGATGGGCTCCTCGGTGGGATCCCAGTTCTTGAGGGAGTAACCGGCAGGGATCTTGTGCTTCTTGGCATCCAGCTCGTTGGCCTGACGAGGCGGAGGGGGCTTCTTGGCGTGAGAGCTGGCGGGACGGGTGGTGGATGGCCGCTGGGGCACCGAAGCCGAGGAACGACGGGCATGGGCGCTGGCCGCGGGGCGAGGGGCGCGCGGGTCATAGGCATGGGTCTCGCGATCAATGTAGGCGAATCCGCTCTGTGTGGGGTGGTGGTAATCAGTTGCATATCCTCTCCAGGCGTCTTGATAATGATAAGTGTCTTGAACGGAATGCCTCTTTGCCTTTTGGCGCGACTGTGCCTGAAGCACGTAGGTACGGCCATCCACCTCGATGACCTCGTCCTCGTCGGATTCTCCGTGGGGCGTCGAGGCCCGTACATAAACATAAGAAGATCGGCGCTCGCGCTTTGGTTGCGACGGCATGGCCCATGAATGCTTGCGCGAATGATGACCACTACTCACATTTGCCGTGGCATAGTAGCCATCGCTCGTGTACCGAGGCGACGCCGTCGGCGGACGGGGACTGAACTCGCTGGGATTGCGGAAGTGGGCGCGGGTGGCTGGCCGTTGGGGTGTGGCGCCGGGGTAGTAGTAGGATGAGGGGCCCCGAGGGGAGGGAGTTGGGGTTGCCGACTGGTATCGTTCCTGGGTGTAGTAGAACTCCTCGCCGGGAGTTGACCCGTAGGGGGATGAGTAGTTTGCCATGTTGCGTGATGGTTCTCTCTCTCTCTCTCTCTCCCTCTCTGTATGTTGTCGGGGGGAGTCCGATGATGTCTTCTCCTTTCTTTTCTTTTGCTTCTGCTCGTCCTTCTCTAGCAGCTTCGTCTGCTAGGTTTCGAGAGTTCCCCCAAGATGTCGTCGGTGGTTGTGTTGTTGGTGATGTCTGATACCAGGCCAGGTTTATCGCGCCGATGTCGAGGCACGAAGGAAGGTGAAGCAAGTCACCTTGGTATGCGGTGGGAAGATGGAGGAGAAGGAATGTGTTTTCTGTAGCTGAACATGACCAGGTTTGATATAACTGCTGCAGATTACCCTCGCTGACCAGGAATGGAAGACTAGATTACCGAGCACGAAAAGAAGCTTCTCGACCTCGGAGGTGTGCGGTGGAAGATGCTGGGGGCTTCTGAGAAGGATAAAAAAGCTTGCCAGCAACCAAGGTGTCGTCAATGACGTACTGTTGGGATTTGTTGGGTTTGAAAGATGAAAAGCCGAAGCCGTCTTGTCAAAGATTTGTTATTGATTGGCAGAAGCCAAAAACATGAGAAGAGAGGAGAACTGGCAAGAGTGGTCGTGAGGGAGAGGGCCTATTTAATTTACTGCACATGTGCCCGGTTTTCGTGGGCGATGAGGACAGAGAGGGCGTGCGTCGTCCCACTACCGGGGAGGGGGGTACAAGAGAGAAAAATGGTGCTTTTGCAACTGGGTGGGTCCAGGAGGAGGAACCATGATCCCTGCTTATGCAAGAGGGAATGACAAGGACAGGGATATGAGAGAAGGGGCTGACGCACACGGATCCTGTGCCCAATTTAGGGAGGGACACAGACTGGATGTTTCTGGGGTGGGGGTGTGGTGATAGAAAGGTACGTTGACTACTTACCCAAGCATGGTAGGTAAGTAGTCGAGGTTACGTACCCACCGCTACTGCCCTCCCACCTCCCTTGTCAGGGTTGACGAAAAGAGAGAGAGAAAGAGAGAGAGAAAGAGAGACGAGTATTACTCACCCCCCGGTCCTTCCGTGGACTCGTATAGAATTGCTGATTAACTCTACACTCTGGTAGGTGTGTAGTCTACCCACCTACCCTACCCAAGTAGATGGGTGTTCCAAGGCGCCCAATCGAATGAGAGACACTCCTCGACCTACACAACACCAGCCACACACACTATGTCTGTGTCGAGATGCCTTTCTAGCACACAAACATCGGGTGCGCTTGCGCTTCCGCTTCTCTCGGCCGTGAGAGGCTGTTGTTCACCTCGCCGTCGCAGACCAATCGACGGGCCGTCTTCCGGCCTTGGACTGCTGTTCGTGCGACTATTGCAAGCCTCGCAAGCCAGCTGGAAAGCAAGCAGCGACTCAGATGCTCAGACTATCCAGGCCAGCGAGCGCGCGCTTCACTTCAGCCCGCTGTCGCAACGCACCGGTGCACAATCAGTCAGTCCACTTCGCAACTTTAAACTCCACTCCACTGGTCGGTCGGTCGGCCTGTTCGCCCGGATGATAAGAATGACTCCTGCCGCCCGCGCTTCCTGTCTTGCGCGAAGGAGCCCTTCAGCCGTCCGCCGCCCGTGTCAATCACTATCGTGCAAGCCAGCGTGATCACGTCGTCGCTCAACCCACATGCGCTTTGGTTTGCTACTGACTCGACATAACCCCCTGGAAATACACACACAATACGTGGTAGTACCATGAGGCAACGTCTGTCTGGAATAAGGGGAGGCGGCGAAGAATGCACCTCGTCGTCGCCCTGGATGTTTCGCTGTTTGCACCGTAGTCTCCCTGTGCGCCCTGTAAAAGGGCTGGGATTCCCAACGCTGGGCTAGGCTCCTACGTGCGCGCAGAAGAGGGCTGGTCCCCTTTTGATTGCTTCTTCGATTGTTCGAGTCACCGCCTGTGTTACGCACACATACATACGCACACCCCTTTTTTGTTACTCTCCTGCTTGGCCGCGGGACGTGTCTGATCTCTGTCTTACTCTCTCAACTTTCCGGTTTGGTATTCGGCGCAAGGTGGAATGGGAATGAGTGGACTGCCTGCCCGAGGCGGCGCGGTTCACACCTCGACACTGAGAATTGACCACATCGGTATCAAAATCCCGTCACCGCTTGTGATAGCGATGCCAGCCCCGGGGGAAGCGATGGGCACCTTGGTTAGAGGGACCCGCGACCGGGAGGCCTTGTCGTTTCAATGAGTCAACGCCAACGTCTGTGAGACCCCCCTCGGCTGTTTGTTCCTAGTCGCCGGGAGAAAGATAGATAGAGCTCCATGACCCTTGTTGTCGTGCTTGTACGGATACGTCTTGTACAGGTAGTATCCGTAGTAGCGTACCAAGTAAGCGCTGCCGTCCGTGTGGGTAAATTTGCCGGCGACGGGTAACCGAAATTGGCCCTTCGCACGAGCGGACAAGCGTGCGGAATCTGGGTAATTTGGAGATGGCTTCCACAGCAAATAAAAATTAGACTAAAAAGTTACCCAGTTGGTGCCGAGGCGTAGCGGCACCTCTCACCGGGCCCAAGTGTGTGCCACTGAAACCGCCCAGGTGAAAATTTTTTATCGGTCCCCTGGCGTGACGTGGCTGGCCTCTGTCCGCCTCTGGTCCTTGACCGCCGTCCAGCACAGGGTTGCAGTTGTTGGGATTATCGAGAGAAGAGTGAATCACACCGTGTCCAAGGTGAAGGCTGCCGAAACACGAGCCAGCCTAACTGCCGATTGCGAGCCGGGAGCGCCGTCCCAACCGTTGGTGCTGGTATGGAGAGGGCACCGTTGTCTTTCGCTGCAATATCGATCAGATTCCTGGGGGATGAGCAGAATCGCAGCAGGAATTTGGCCGACGACAGTAGGTGGGAATCGGAGAAGAATCCAGAATGCATGCGCCTCGGTGTGAGGTCACAAAGGAGGAATGACCCGCGAGTCTTGGCTTGCTGGGGGGGGGGGGGGGGTGGGGCATCGTTGGTGCCATAATGTTTTTGCGTGTGGTCGCGCGCGGCCAGGTGCTGCCTTCGGCGCGGGCTCGGTGAGGCGACGGTTCACACGGACTCGCAAGGTGAGGGAGGTGCTGGCCGGCAAGGGGCCTGGCAGATGTCGGTCTGGAGCCCTTGCAGTTTTCTTTTCAGAATTTTTTTTTTCTCTTATTTTCTTCTTTTCCTGTCCCCCCCTTGCTATCGCGGCCCAAACACCCCTGGCTGGCGTTGAGGCGAAGTCGACGCTTTGGTCCTATGGTAGACGATATCTGCCGACACTCAAAATGAGCCACTCCGGTCTGTGGTGTTGTTGACGGTTCGAGGAGCGGAATCCAACAGGAGCGGGTGCGCGCCAAGGGCTGCGAGGCGGGAAGAAGAGCTGGGGGGTTCCGGGCTCATCGGCTTGGTCATGCAGTCTCGCTAATGCTGACGCGGCCGATGCGAGAGCGATCAACTGCGCAGGCCTAGCATGGCCGATTAAGTGCAAAGGAGGAGGTTGGAGGCGATGAATGGATGAGTTGGCGCTACGATGCAACAACAAGCCATCTCTCTGCTTGATGGATGCTTGACTAGCTGGTACGACCCGAGCGAATGAAGCGCCAGGGGTAGCAGGCGGCGGCGGCGGCGGCGGCGACGACAACGATGTTGGCCTGGATCAGGTCGCGTGTACGTGTGTGAGTATCCGTAGGCAGTAAACAGGATGACGAGGCTGTTTGGTGATGACGCTTTGGCAAATGGCAGTTGGCGACGACGGCCGGAGAAGAAGGCAAGGTGTGCGCCTGAGGCAGGTTGTCGGGGAAGGAGGTCAGGTCGGTCAGCCGGACAGAGGCTCTCTTATCGAAGCCAAAGTCGTCATGCATGCAGCACCCAAACATGGGAGACCGATATCCGTACACACTGCAGAAAACAGGCAATAGGGAACATAAGGCAGCAAGATGGATGGATGTCAGACATAGACAGACAGTCAGGTGCAAGTACACATGAGAAACCAGAAAGGGCCTGGTGGGGGAAGTTGACTCGACGGCTGCACAAGCACAAGCACTTGGAGACCTTGCATGCACGATCGATCACGTTCAACAATGGGGGGGATGACGAGCATCAAAGTGCAATTTTTTTTTTGTCGGATTCGACACGATACTCTAGCGTGATTTGTTCCCTCGTCTACTTCCTTCCCTGCGCCATCCGAATTTTGGGGTTGGGGCTGGGGTAAGGGGGGGTAGGGCGCAGAGCAGCGCGTATTGGACGGGGAAGAGAGAATGAGGGTGAGGGTGATGAGGATGATGATGATGATGATGAAAGTGCACTAGGTACACTGCGCATATTCACACCCTCATGAAATGCACCAGTCAAAAGGAGGCTCAAGTGTGATGCAGCAGGTGATGGGAGACATGACTTGCAGCCATCAATCAGGCCGTGTTCCGTCTTCATCAAGTGACCGACCAGCAAGCGCCGGGCGAGGAGGTGAAGCTGCTCGCCTGTACGGATACTGACTGTACTATACAGACAGATACGGATACTTGGTATGGGATTGGAAAAGAGGATAACGAAGTTCATGCCTGGAGTGGAACGGTTCGCCCATCACATGCACCCCAGCGCGGGGGTAACAGCAGAGCGGACCATGCAGAATTCAGAACTGCCAGAAAAGGCGGCCCCTCTCTTTCCAGAAAGGCCCATTTACAGGGAATGCCAACGGACGGGGCCAGCTACCTAGCTCGCTCAGTCATGTCACCCCTTCCCGTCCAAGCGTCCGGGCGTCTTAATTACATTACCAACCAAGAAACAGGGGTGGGAAGGATCGGCTCTGCACACCTGCAGGTTTTTGCCGTGAATTCATTTCTCTTCGGTGTATCTAAGGTACGGATACCGTAGATAGAGAGGTACCCACCCAAGACCCACTTTGCCACGCTTGCCTCGCGGGCCTCACCTTACCGCTTCACCTTCCTCACCTCGCTCACCTTACCTTCCTTTTCCAGAAGAGGCAGCCAATGGGTCAACAAGGCCATCCAACCTGAGGAAAGAGGAAGGAAGACTGCAGCTTTTAACCCATGCCTACTTGCCAGTTCAAGTCTTATTCCATTCCGTTCCATTCCATTCCCATGGAACTCAACACCTGCCTAGGTAGGTAGATAGGCAGGCAATAATGTAGACCTCAGGTCACCAGTTTAGAATATTAAATAAAATAAAAATCAAACTTGTTCATTCCGCCCCTCGGCCAGAAACACATACACAACCAGGAACCATCACACAAAGAAAACCCCCCCGACCCGTCATTCATTGCCTGCCTGCATCACCCCGAGACTGAGAGGGGGAGGCAAAAGCTCGGGCTGTGGTTGCCTCGGGTCGATCGGTCAATTGGCGCAGGCCCCCTGCATTAGGGTGTACGCCTCTCGCTGGGATGAACCCGATGGCAACGACAATATCAACGACAATCAATCACCTTAATTGGCATCAACGGCTACAGTACGCATGCAGCTTGGTTTGCCTCCTCCTGTCCATCCCCTTTAGCCTGCCGCCGCCACAATAGTACTACACTAGGTATGTACATTCTATGTACAAGCAAGTACTAGTGCATTGCTGATTTGTGAGAGGGCAAACATCCGACGCAACAATGCTCCATTCAGCCCTCCGGATTCTCAGCTCCGACCATTCGGCACGACGTACGGAGCACGGTCACCCACACGTCCCCGTGTTCCAAATTCCAACTGCGCTGACTCGGATGAAAGTGCTAACAACCCAAACCGCGACGACGATGGCGACCGCGCAAACAAGCAAGGCTGGAGTGGGGTTTCTCGCCCGCCCAGGCCCATCGAATGGGAGTCATTCCAGAGCGTTTCGATGACCTCAACCAGCTCTAGCGGCCCTCTTTTCCTCTCCTACTACTACCGGTATCCGTACACTACGGGATACTCTATACACGCTACCGCCGCACTACGAACTCACCTCCACACCTCGCGCACCCCGCCGCCACACTACGCCTGGGATCCGCCCGTTGAATTACCCACCCGCTTTGGAGTCCCGGATGAGCTCGAATGCCTTACCCGGTCGGCTGCGGCCCCTCTTGCCTCCTCTCCAGTGCCACCAACGGAGTCATATCATGTCCCCCTCCTGGGCGTCGCTCCTTACAATAGAGATTTTGATGTGGCGCGTACGTGGAAGCTTGCCCTCTTTCAGGAAACCATGCTCCTACTCAGAGTGGCTAATTATTTATCTGCGACGTGGCAATGCCAGCCTTCCTGGTGGCCTCACCTCGACCACCTCGGTAACTTTCCCCAGCTATACGGTGTGCGGTGTGCTCGGTGAAATATCTTTGTGCACGTCCCCTCGTCAGGGGTTAAGAAATGGAAAAGGGGGGACTGGTTGGCGGAAAGGCCGACGATGGCCCTGTCTCACTCACCTTGGTCGGCTCCCTGCACACCGGTCAACAGACCCGTTTCGCCATATTATCATCGCTCTCGGGCCTGGTCCCATGCGGTCATTGGGCTTTCACCTTGCCCCCTGGTTTGTTTTTTCTCCAAGTTGCCCTTTTCGCAGGCAACGCAGTGGACGGCAGAGGGCAGTGCACCACCACCCTGGTCTCTTTTTGCAGCCCAAGCATGTTGGGTGCCAATGGCAAATTCCCCGTTTACGAGCTCGAAAACTTGGGCACACCACACTCCTCGCCCTCGTGTTCGTGCACCGGCCTAGCCAAATCATTAAGGGGGTCATCCCGGGAGGACCCTTGGAGAACAACGTCGCTCATGATTACATGTCAAAGTCGACCAGGACGCGAATTCCTTGTACCTGGCAAAAGAAAACAGGGTGGCTTGGAAAGATCGAGGTGAAGGGAAAAGGAAGAAGAGAAAAGAAAAGAGACATGATAGTCTGCTGTGGAGGAAAGGAGCGCCTCAAGGGATTGGCCTGGCGCTTGTGCTTGTCAGCCTTCAGGTACCTGTAACGCCCCTCCCAGCGGCCTGTTCAACATCTAGGCCCAGCTAATGCAGCCGCTGAAAGGGTTCTCCGCCGGGCCGGCCAGGCGTGGCAAGTCAAGACTAGGCGGGTGCTAGTGTACGATGCGAGAAATGGAGGCGACAGGTGCCCAGGGATTACAGATACACCAAGCTACAACAGCCATTCGAACCCTTGGGATGCCCAATATACTCTTTTACCCGATGCTTGTACACCATTCGCACGCACGCACCTCACAGCACTACGCAGCATATGCTCGACGACTCAGAAGTCTCGTTTAGTAAGACCTCCTCCTCCTCCTCCTCCTCCTCCTCCTCCTCCTCCTCATAGCGTAGCGCTACCGTTGTTGTGGCCCGGCCTGGCCTGTAAGCTCTCGGAAGACCTGAGTCGCGTCTTGCCTCTGGTGTCTTGCGATGGCAGCCTCATGTCTCGGTCGACGTTCTGAATTTCCCTTCTCTTCGCGTCCGTGCTTCTCAGCCGCTGAATTCCTCTCGGATGTCTCCCTCGCTACGAGAATGCGAGGGCGTGCAATACGAAGAAAAAAAGAAAAAAAAAAAAACCCCCCAGTCGATTTCACCTTGCATTCCTCGTCTGGCTGAGACTGACTCACCTTGAGGACAGCCAGTAGGTATCGATTTTGGGCATCTGGTTTGTTCCTCGTCAACCACCACCAGGTATCGAGGCACCGTCGTCTTTATTGATCGAGGCCGACTTCCACACACCTCCCTCACCAGCCTCGCTCTATACAGTGTCACAGTGTGTCCACCAGTTCGTCGAACTCATCGGTCGAGAAGTCATTCATCCGTCGTCGATGGACCACCTGCTTTGCGAGCCACTGCGACATACAACTAACTGTACCATAACATAAGGTAGTATCCGTACCCTCCGTATGGACCGTTGGGATCCATGGCCAGGAGAAGAGAACATGTCCGGAGCACAAGCTTCTGATATCCCCTTTTCACACACGCCCCTTTCTCCCTGCTCCCTGCACAAACGAGATAGCGTCACACAGGCTGCTGTTCCTAGCGTTCCGTGTGGAGCCGTTGGACCTTGCAATCATCCCAGCACCCTGCTCCGACTCCCTGCTGCCCCTCGAACGTTTCTCCCCTCGTCAATCATCGCCTTGTCTCTCTCTCTCTCCTTCTCGTCTGGAGCCCACTCCCACCCAGCCGGCTGGCTCTATGTACGCTAAGTGTTGTGCTCACGCTGTGGCGCTGGCTTGTGATGACAGGGCTTCAGCACGTTGTGTCTCTCGCTTGTCAGGGGTCAGGGTCGCAGGCTTCATCCCACCAAAAAAAAAATTCGTTCAAAATCGCTGCCCTTTTTCTGGTGGTCTAGAATATCGCATACCGCTTTGGCCAATTTTCGCCTTGACTGCGGGCTGCTGAATTCGGTCAGTGGCCCAATGGCCCGGCCAAGTGGCCTGCTTGCCTGCCTGTTCCGTCACGATCATGGATTATGGTCCTCCGGATTAGTGTACACTTCGTGTGTGTAAAAGGCCTGATTGCTTCCCTGCATGTTGTTATTGCTGACCCTAGTCAGTCAATGTAAATGTTGATGTCGAAACTTGTGCGGCCGGACTCCGAGACTCCTGATGCGCCTTGCGTGCCCATGCGACAGGTTGCGCCCAATCTTCCATGTGTGTGCATTGCAATTTGCTTTTTTTTCTTGGTGTATTTTATTTTGGCGCGGCATCGACATGAAAAATTTTCTCTCTCACCGAGAATAGCACACACCTCATCTCACTCCCCGGCTCTTCTCATTCAAGACCACTCTCCCACCATGCCAGCCACACACGCCAGCGTATCCAGCCTTCCTCCAGGCATGCAACTGTCGGCGCAGAGTGACTCACACAGAGAGCAACATGGACTGAGGGAAAACAAGGAAAATAGGCAGGGTACTCGGGAGCGCGCCACACATAGTAGAGGCGTGTACCGTGTGCGGTGAACGTATGGCGTGGTGTATGCGGTGTGTGGGCGATGGGGTTTTCATATGTCTTCGGTCCCAACTCTAACGAGTCGTGCTGCACTGATGTCCAACGCCCGAGGCTGTCTACTGTTTGTCTGCGTCTACGATGGCCGCCCTATCAGGCTTCGTCGCAGTCCCTCCTACACCCATTGATGAGGGACCGGCTTGGTCATGATTGGGTTGGGCCGTTGTTGGACACGTAGCACGGCGCTCTTTCAAGGTCTCCTCTCCCCCTTTCCTCCGGCGCATCGTCACGTCCGGCCAGTCACATCGGGCGGGCGGACAGGGCCGTTGGATGGGAACACTACTGCACCGCGAGGGCCGCATCCGCATCCCTAATCCTGCGGGCCTCCCCCCTCCCCAGGGGTCTCCCGAATCTGCATTGTCTCTGCCCAGGTATCCATACGCATACCTACTCGGTACTCTTCTTGTGGTCTACTAGGTATGTAAGGTGTCAAGATATTTGTCTTTCTGTCTGTCCGTCTAACTCCTCTCACGATGCCACCCCCCCCTCCCCCCCCCCGACCCAAACACCACCACCGAACGGGTGTTCCTACCCCTTCCTCTGACAGCCGTGGCGTGGCAGCTAGGCGCGATCACACACCCACCCGGCCGACATCGAGCGCTGCACGAAACATCCACTGGCGATGGCCTCATTGACGTCTATTCGCTCACCAAGTGGCCAGCTGCATAGGTGCAGCCCTGCAAGCCCGCCGCTGCGCCCATCCATGTACATTAATTACATGGCCGATGCTGCTGAGAGCCCTTTCCCTCATCCTGCGCTCTCATTGTCTCTCTCGGCTCACCCTCTCCGTCTTCGCCCACCATCCACAACCGCACACGCCTCGACTCGACCAATACCTTTCGATCAAACAACTATTCCGGACCAAAAATAGGCAAAGACTATGGCTACCGCCTTGTTATGCTCTCCTTCTCTAGCCCTCCAGCCCCTCCATGCATCCCATCCCTTCCTCCCTCCTTCATGGGGGCCCAGACCGCAAATGTGACAGGCGCAGCGCAAGTGTCCCCCTCACCGACTCTTTGCATCCCATGGCAACCAACCGCCCTTACTACCGCCGTCGCTCTCCCTTCTCCTCCTGCTGCGTTCCATTCTTGCGGACTGGCGGGGCACTTGCATGGCATTGCATTTCGTTGCAGACGCGAGCGTGGCATGAGGAGGGGCTTGCTGCTTGCATGCCCTATTTTTGACTTTCTTTTTTTTTTTTTTTTTGTTCCCTTGCGTTTCCTGAATCACGAACACGCGCCGGGCTGCCGGCCGTTTGGGTTTTGAAGATGTCGCATGCGCAACACATGCCTTCACCCCCCCCCCCCCCCCCCCCGACGAGCAAGGTCCCGTTAGGGCTCGGTGACGTAGTGTATGCGCACACGATATTTCTCTGGCGGAACGCCATCTTTCCATGTGCCCAGACAAACAGACAGACGAATGTTGGCTGTTGTGGGTGAGTCCATGGCCATCGCGAGTCGGTTTAGCGTGTAAGGGTCCTGCCCATAGTGCTGATATCGGTGGTGGCGCATGTTGTACGCGACAACACACACGCATGGCCTACCTCCAACCACGGTCAGCTCACGGAGGTACGGCCTAAGAAGCTGGCCGTCTGTCGAAAGCAGCTGACTGCCATTCTTGGAGGAGCCGGGCAAGACGTGTATAGGAAGACAGCCCCCTCCGAGTGACGGTCAAGCGATGAAGGAAAGCGGGATACGGACCCCCCCCCCCCCCCCGATGCTCATCGCTTCTCTCATGCAACCAAGTGGGAACATGCCCGAATCGACAATTCGCGCCTGTTTTGAACGGCGGGGGAGAGAGGCAATCGCATCCTCCATCCTCCGCTTCCACACCAGTCGCCCCGTCAGGCTTCCATTTCTTCCACTGTCGGTTGGGAGAATGAGGGCATGAATGATAGGCCGATCATGAGCGGTAAGCAAAGAAGAAGGCCAAACGCAGGATGTTGTCGGTTTCTGGCTCTGGATCAAACCGCGGTGTTCCTTGCCCGTGAAGCAGACCCGGCAGGCTGGCAGGACGACAGATAAGCAACGGCTGCCCTTGTCGAGCAGGGTGGTCCTTCAGTCCCACGTTGTCGTTCTAGATCGCTGCAGACCTACCTGCCTGCCTTGTTTTCCGCTTGGGTGCGCCGATGGTACCGATGCTGCGTGCGATGGCCTCCTGGACAACGCATCACGATGGCTACTTCAGCGCGAGCGCGCGCGCTGCCTTTGCTGGGCCTGCGAGAACACCGGCCAACGGATGTGCCCTCGTCCGATCTGTTCGCCCTACCTACTCTGCGCCCACAGTCTGCGGCCCACGGTCTGCGGTCTGCACGCCTTGCCGCAACGTCACGCACGCCTGGCTCGGTACCTTGGCTATGCTCTAGGTTACAGTTTCTCCTCGACTATCCTGGTCCTCATCATACATGGTCCATTCCAAATATGCTTCCATGCATCCATACCTATGCTCACGGCCATGTCGCTTCTCCGCCCGCCCCCCCTTGGCTTCGGACGTCCCTCCCGCCTTACCGGTCTACACCGTACGTACTTGAAAACCTATCGGACAAGAGGAGATGCAATGCTACAGTGGTAGCGTCGATGGGCGAGGGGTGTTTGGGATGCAAAAGGGGCGGACGAACGAGGGCCACAACCGAGAGGGGTTTGTTTTTTTGCGTTTATTTTTTGGCGGGGGGGGGTTTTTTTTTTCTACCTTTGCCAAACGAGAGGGGCCTGCATATTCACAAGCCTGTAGTAGGGCTTGCGGTGTCTCTCCAATTTTGAGTGCGTTTCATTTTGAGGAATTCGCGAATCGGTGTAGCGAATCCATTGAGGGGTCGGAGACACCAGGGCAGAGGGGAAAGCACGGGAGGTTATTGGCTCAATCAGCTGGAAGGGAGAAGGCCGGACCAACGAGTCTTTCAGGCATGGGAAATTTGGGTGTTGTGTGAGGATGAGGATAGAATGAGGGTTTGTTCGATTGCTTATTTGCTCGTCTTGGGATGGATGTCGTCGGTTCGCATCGCACAGTGGCTCGGCGGGTGGGCGCGGGGGATGTCTTGTTTGGCGGGACGATGGCGAGAATCATGGCTGTTGAGGGCAAACGCCCTTTTCTGATTGACTAGGAAGGAACAGGACTCCCTACACCTCAAAAAGGGTATCTGCTTCGCCAGGACCCGTATGCGCCACGTAGGATTGGACGACGACTCTCTCTCTCTCCTCTTCAGGTGTTGGGGACAGCGAGTTCCGTCGCAGCCTCGAAGTGGCATGTCGTCCAAACAATGTGCATTCACACACACACACACACACACACACACACACTTACACACACTACTATTGCCTCTTGTAGACTACGGGAGACAAGGCACAGCCGAAAAAGTAAAAAAAGAAAAAAAAAAATCCCGCCGGCGGCGCCACATGTGGCCGACGGGACGGTTCAGCGCCCCACCGAAAGGGCGGGTCTCGCCCCTCACCTGTTTCCTGTGGCTTAGCAGCTCCCATCGAAGCCCCTTGTCATGTGGATCCACCGAGTATCGCAGCCAATGAGAAGATGAGACGATGACGGGAGCACGGGCGGGTTCGCCACAGTGGACACAGGGAAACTGTCAAGGTACGTATCTTCTTCGGCAGACATGTACTCCGTACACGGTACGTACACAGTCCGCCCCGGACGCTCGGATCTCCCGCGAATGGCGGCGAACCCGGGATTCCGGTCGGGGTTCTCGGTCGCGCGGGAAAGTCTGTCCGGACTTCGACACCCATCTATCTCCGCTGCTTGCGTTAGTAACGTGGCTCTCTTTTCCTTCTTCAGTCTTCTATTTTGCAACTTTTTCCTTCTCCCCCCCCCCCTTTCCATCTAATCTCGATGACAAATCATCCCAAACTAGTTGTTCGCTGCCTGATTGTACACACGGGTAACTTTTTGATGCTATGTATCTTTCACGAAAAGGTGGAAAACGTACGCCCCCTCTTCGGTGAAATACGACCAATGTATTTTTTTCCCCTTCCCCTTTTCTAGCCTGTCATATTGTCCAGTTATCGCCTGGCGTCTGCGGCCTAGAACGTGGGCGTTTGCATTAGGTAGTAGTGCCTTTCTCTTGGAGAGAGTATGACGCAACATGCGTGTGTGTGTGGTGTGGTGTGGTGTGGTGGGTGGCCGGTACTTGTATGTAATAATCATGTATGTATGGTGTGGCATGGTACGTCGCAGCAAAGCGCCGTGCAGCCCAACTTCCAAGGTTATGTCCGCTGCGACCTTTTTTTTTTCTTCTTCTTATTTCCCTTCTCTCATTCCTATCGTTTTGGGCATCAACAATACCAACAAATACTGCGCAGCCCACGACGACAACGACAAACGACGCACGCTGGCTGACACACGCGCGCGCGCACGCCCGCAGCAAGAAGAGAGATCGGTCATCTTTTGCTCTGCCACACACACACACACACACACACACACACACACACACACGCACATGCAGGACTGGCCAACGCATCAGAGACACGAAGCGAATCTCTGCGATCCGTCAAAGGGGGAGTGCAGCCTAGATTCTTCTTCTTCCGTCTGGCTGATGACAATCTGCGAGATTGCGCATTCTCTCTCTTCGCCTCTTCTTGGCGCTTGCCCTTCTCCGTCCAGTGCATTTTGTCTTGTTTTGTCTTATTTGTTGTTTTTTTTTGTTTTCCCTGTTTCCTCCTCGCAGGGCGCGCGCATCGCCCACCCGATCGGGGGAGGGGGTTATCTGTCAACGCAGCCTATGTGCCCGACCTTGTTCCAAAGTCCGAGGATGCTCTTCGGCGATTGTCTTTGTCTGCGTGATGCCCGATTCGAGGGGGGGGGACACTGTGTATTACCCTACCCCTACCCCCGCCACCATCACCCTCGAGTCACCGCTTGTGATTTGCCAGCGCCCTCGCACGCCGCCTGTGACTCACAACTCCTAGGGTCGCCGCACGACCCGGCGCTTTTTCGGCAGCAACAAATGAAAACAAAAGGTCGTATACACTAGACACAAGCGAGACGTGCATTCTCCCAGAGGTCTGGGTCGGTGATTTTTTTTTATTTTTTTTTATTTTTTGCCGGATGAGGAGGCTGTGCAACCCGCCATAAAATCAGGACGGCCTTCCGGGCGGTTGGGTACCGCATGCTACCGGCCTCGCGGGTTGGGTTTTTGGTTTAGGGGGGGTTTATGAGTCCTGCGTGACGGGGGAAGTAATCGCCACTTCTATGGGATGGTATGTACGGTTAACATGCGGTCGAAATGACGACGTTTAAGGGGACGGCCAGGCACCCGTGGGTACGATGACGACGGTGATCCCGTTGCCCCGGGACCGATGGTCTTTTGGGTGAATGGACGGGGGCGAATCGATCTATCGGCCGCTTTACTTTGGGGACATGTTTCCGATGGGCGATAGGCAGCACCCTGTGAGTCTTGCCGAATCAGAACCGACTTTCAACGGTTTGTGTTTCTAGGTGGTGGCTTGGCATAGGGGTGACGATGCTCTGGTCTTTCCTGGAGTTGCTGTGCCACGCCCTCAGACCTAGGGGTACGAGAGGTCTCGAGACCCCGTACACCTGATGAGTCGTGGATGAGTCGTCGTGAGTCTCCCCTTCCTTCACCCGCTCGGTGTATCGAACGTGGGGCCAGTTGGACTCGTCAGGGGTGGGGGACTCCTCGGCGTGAAGAGCGACGAGAGCCAGTCCTCCCCCCTTTTTTTTGCGCGTAGGCTGCCTCCGGTGACGTGGACTGCCATCCGTGAATGATTGGGCCCGTCCGGCGACGAGCCTGGAGCGCCATGGCGAGGGAACGTCGAGGGTACGCCGCACCGTCGTCAACTTTTACCCGCACGCCCCCATCGATATGTACCGGCGGTTCTTTGACGAATACATCGCGACGCGAGAGTCGATGTACCAGTCTGTGATCCTGGACTGGGATAACCAGGTCCTCCCCCGAAGTTCCGAAGGGGAGAGTGCCTGCGCACTGCGTCTGTCGTGAATTCCTTTGCGTGCGGCTGATAGACTGCAGCCCAGGCCGGTGGCGAAGCCTCCCATAGGCGATCCAATACTTACCGAGGCGGACATTACGCGCCTCAAACCTTGAGGACTTTGATCACAGGGTCTCGTCACGAGCGAGACTGAGGCATGTGATTTCTCGTCTGGAAAAAAAGGAGATTGCTTGTCACTGACGAAGCGACGCGGCGGCCTGCGAGTGAGGCCCCCCGGCATCGAGGGGAGTGGCTATTTTCATGTGATATCGAGACTGAGTCTCGCTTGATGTTGTGTATTCGGATACTCAGCCTCCTTGTAGTTCTTCCTGGTCAGGAACATCGCCGTTATCGAGTATTATGAGTCATTTGAGTGGCTAGATACGCTGAGCTCTCTCGACTGATGTTGCAGATGGCTTCCAAGCCGAGGAGACCCGAGGTTTTATTTTACGAGGCACGCTTTGGCCTCGACGTGCATCTGACGTGTAATTGGAAGAACTTGAACAACATAGAACCATATCCCGCTCATAGTTACGTTGCCATGGTGGACCATTTCAACAAGTCTATAGCGCTACCCTCCTTTCCTCGGATCAGGCCCTGTAGCTGTGTAGAGTCTGTTGAAGGACGCAGCTGGACCATCAACATATGATCACATGATGGTAAAAATGGGCTCGGCCGCCAAACTGAGTTCGAGCACTATCCCGAACACGTCATTCCTTTGCCGGCGGTTTCGAAAGCAAGATGTCTTGCGCGTCGTTTTGCTGATGTGGGATCTGATGTTGTGTAACTCAGTCAACGGCCAAGATTCGGATATTACAAGGTCTTTGAGAGAAGTTCCCTGTGGATGAAGGGCCACTTCCACTCCCTTACACAATTATACCGCGGAATGAATGATTGAATCAAAACTGCCAAAACGAGACTGCCTGAGGCCGATGCTGTGGACTATAAACCGAATGAGGCATCGCTGTTCAGACTAATTGGCAGAGCCCAACAGCCTTTGCCTACTAACAGTGTCTTTGACCCTCGCACTACTCTCAGCACTGATTCTCCATGCCCGTAAATCCTATCCGATGCCTGTATGTCCTGCAACGGGAGGGGTTGTTATGTGGCCCATGTGATGTGCCGCAGACATGGATGGCAAAAGCAAGTTGGTGGTTGAGCGTTTTTGGTACCCAGAGCAGCCTAGTGGACAGTGTTCCAATGTCATCACAAGTTCGGCAGTAGCTGTAGCGAAGGAGAAGCTTTGTCCACTTGAACGACTGCGTATGATTTATTGTTTGGTTCAGTTGAAGAACATAATCCTTTTTCTGGCATACGACGTAATGAACCGAATTGGAGCAACAGACCAGGATGCCCACGTTGTCTTATTATATACAATCGGACCAGTCAATACCGAGATGAGAGACAACCGCGTCTCCAATAACCAACTCGGCATGGCTTGCTGAGCTTCAAACATAGTCGGATGAGCAACGGGTCGTTGAGAAACGCAACCATCTCCCGACCATTGTTCCATTCAGGTGCACAGACACAAACAAACAAACAAGCGAATCAGTCTACATGTTGATAGACGAGGAAGAGGGCATCGCAAAACAATGCAAGAGAGGCTTTTTCCGCATTCAAATCTTCCATGGACGGACGGCAAAAGCTAAACGAGATGCGCCGAGGGGGAATCGAACCCCCGGCTCCCCGACGCTGCTGGATGGCAACGGAGAATTTTACCACTAAACCATCGGCGCTGGTTAATTACTGTTGAGCTGTGATGGCAGAAGAAGCTGCTGATTTTGCTCATATCGGGATGGACCGAAATTGAGTTGCTTGTGGGCGAAATGAGAAGGGTTCTGGACCCTGAATTTGTGTGGGGCCGTGTTGGGTGGATTTACAGGGGTTGGGACAACCTCCGGGATCTAGTTCCGTAGACTTGGGGTGCGGCCTGGTTATGCTTCTTCGTTCTGAACAGAATTGAGGAGGCGCTCCCTATGACCAGAGAGTACGAGCTCTACAGTCGGAGCCAACCTGAGTTGAGGTTCAGTGTTACCCAGTTGTTGGACATACTACGAGTATGCTTGACATTTGCCTTCGATCCAACAATAAGTCGCTTCGTAAAGCCATTTCTACATACAAGAGCCGCGAGAGGCCTCATAAGTGCCGTGACAGAAAGATCTTACAGTCTGCTTATCAGGCGATCAACTATCATAACCATATTCTTTCGGCGTCTCGCCTTACTTTTTGGATACACACGTTAGGCAGCGTCTCTCAAGAAATAAGCTACTTTGTCCATTATCGCACTACGGTTGTAGATTCGCTTTTAGCCCATCATCATATCAGTCTATGTATGAGACAATCACAGTTTCCTCAAAGTTAGCTTAGTCGTCATAAGTCTTGTTAATATCCTAGTATTCTAACATACGGTTGAACTACAAGTTATGCATGCAGTCTTGAGCTATTGAAACGTTTGCTGGGGTAATGCTTGACGGTATGCTCTTCTGTGTCTAATGATGCTATCTCTTCCTTACCTTTTATACCTGAACTGAGTCTTATGCCTCATAAACTCATTTTCTACCCGGAGAAAAAGTTTCCAGCGAGTTTAAGCTCGGCCCTGATATTGTAACCCCTTTTCCTCTGCCGTCTGAGAAGGCTGTTGCAAGAAATTGGATACAGTAAGAATACTGGAACTAGACGGCAAACCAAATAAGTCAACCCACCCACTTTTCGGCACCCCCCGCATTTCGGCAACCCCCACTTACACCAAAATACACCAAAATACACCAAAACTACCCCCTTTTTATAATAGCTATAACTAAGCAACTATAGTATATATAATTCTAGGCAAATTAATTTAGATAAATAATTACTTAATAAGTCTATATTAAGCTTTTATACTTTACTTTAGTAACTATAGCTTAAAGTAGACTAGTTTTTATAAGAAAGTACTAGAATACTAGTAAAATATATTTAACTATAACTTAATAAATATATATACTATAAACTTAAAACTTTATATATAGTACTATTATACTATATAGCTTATAGTAGTAATACTTATATAGTATATATATACTTATATAAGCTTAAATAATAAACTTAAAAATTTCCTTATAAAAAGTTTCTTAGTAAAGTATATAATTATAATTTATTTTATATTAACTTTATAAATATTAAAGATTTAAGAAACATAATACTATATATAGACCTAAATAGTATTATACTAAGTTTTAAGCCTTTCTATTTAATAACTAAGAAGTTATACTACTTTTTTAAGTGTTAAGAAATACTAGTAAAATATACTATAACTTTAACACTTTTACTACTTTAACTTTAAGTAGCTAGTACTTTACTTATACTAAGTAAAAAGACTTTATAAGCTATATATAGGTCTTTTAAGTAATTATATATAGATATAAATTTTCCTATAATTATTAAGGCTAAGGTTATTAAGTTAGAGCTATAGTGAAAAAGAGCAGTTTTGGTGTAAATGGGTGCCGAAATGTGGGGGGTGCCGAAATGTGGATGCTTTGACTTAGTTGCCAGAAACCCAAAGTGATACCGAATCTTCCCTTCCAGTAGGATAGCACAAAGCAAGCTACAACTAAAACCTACCTACGAACTTCGATTCAAGATTGCTGCATCCGGGCTGTTATTCTTGTGTATAGCGCAGTAGACAGCCACACAAGTCAGCATCCACCTGCTCTTTTCGGTCGCATATTGCAGTAGGACATGGGGTTCAAGAAGAGGTTGCAACATTGTAAGACCAAGAAAAGTACGAGGGCACGGGTGCCGGCCACAGCGTATGTATATTCATGCTGATATGGATGGTGTCGCAAAAAAAAAAGACACTGAAAATTGCGGGAAGCTATCAACTCTATGTATATATTACATCACTTAGTGGCAGAAGGCATGCTCGCAGTGGGCGCCATTCTCCGCCTACCCGTCTGCACCGAGTTGCGCCCCCTGACAACAACATTCACCATGGCCTATTGGCCACAAACTTGCATGGTTCTCTCCAGACAAGAGGAGGGGTAGCAAAATGAGTTCTGATCATGAAAGATAAAAGCCTGGTTCACGGCAACAAAAGGGGTGACATAAATGTCACCTTGGCACGTATCACAATAACCTCCATCATCTCCGGAACCAACCAGGTTGCGAATATCCCGACGGGGACCGCGCCGACCGCAGCTGTAACCAGCTCACCTATAGCAGAGAATCCTGATCTAACCAATGATGGCGACGGTCTTTTTGCTGCAGATGGCGTAAGTTCTCTGAGGTCTTCAGGCCTATCGCCTCGCAGAGATTGATTGATGGTGAAGAACAGTGACGATGCCGCCCACTGACTGCTATAAGTATTAGCCCAAAAATACTCGATTATGATACCTTATGTAGTTGCATTAGAGTGCCCCCCAAATGTATTTATGATTTTCGTCTTTTACTGCCATCCTATGCTAGATCTGAGTACTTTATCCGAATCATCACAGATATAGCCTCATCCTCTCGTGGGACCGTCCTCGAAAGATTCACCATATCCGGTTAAATTGCTATCACTATAATATTACTGCTTCCTAATTACTCTAGCTGTCTTATAGGTATAGACCATTTCTCTGGATGTAGGGTAGTGTAGTACAATCTATAACCCTATTGAGTGCGCGCAACTGCCTTCGCTGAGTAAGGTCAGTGTTCTGTAATTTTGGCCAGTTGAGAGATTAGTCGTGGGCTTCTAGAGGAAGCAACGAGCCGTACGAAGCTAGGCGTGATAGATAGTGGCCAAATTATGAGATGAAGTCGTGTGGCTGGAGCATGATGAGCCGAGGTAAATCAAGAATGAGCCCAGCATGAAGAAACCTGCTTCCACCCCTATAGAAGCCACAATAAATGTTACATGAGGAGCAAGGCCAGATTGGGGTTAAAGTATAGACTATTTAGGCGGTCACCAAAGAGACTATGACTTGTGAGCCAACCTCCATGCGACTATGTGCGGATATGAGAATCATGCCATGTATTAGACAACGGCGTGTCATGTGTAAAGTAGAAAGCGTCAATCAAACAGACCAGCTTTTCCATGAAGAATGACTGCGCCAAACGACGGAAACAACAGTTTTCACTACTCTCGCTTCTGGAGAGAAAAGTTTGTGTGCTGCGACGCAGCAACGACCGGAGAACAATCGCAAACAGAACGACAAACAGGTTTGTGCCAGACCATGTTGCACAGCGCCACGCAGCCCATGAGGCCATGGGATCTAGGCCTACAGACCAGGAGAGAGAGAGAAACAGCATTGCTCAAGAAGGATGGTTCATATCGCGCGGAAAATCGTCACTTAGCCGGCTGGGCAAAGCCCTTCCATCAATCCCCGACTGACCAGTGGAGGCGTGATTGGCTCGCACTCAGATTGGGCCCGCTCAACACCCAATTTATCCAACTCACGCCAAGTACTCCCCGTTGTTGGACGATGCGTTGGGCAACTTGTTACCGCCTCTACCAAATGGCTGCTACGGCTACTGCGACAGCGAGTGGCAGTTTTTGACAGCTACCCGTGACGAGCCCACTTCGTGCCACTGGTACCCCAGATTTACCCCAGGTTTGGTTAAATGTGTGGTTGGCTAGAAACGCTGGGATAATTAGCGCCTGGCCACCTAGTCAACTGACACTAGGTAACCGGCTATATGCAAAAACCATACGTTGGAGAGTGCGGTAGTTCCAAAATATGAGATCCCTGTGCCATAGTAGATCCCAGTATAAGCTAGTTTTGTGGTCTGGTCTTCTCGGAGAGCCTGCCCCGGTTGCTATAACAGGATGTACCACGAGCTCCGGTCTCGAGCCCAACACAAGTTGCAATATTGGCGTTGTCCTTGATTGGTACGGACATTCAGTGCCAAGTCGGAAGTATTATATTGTGCGAGGCAGATGGCAATCCCCACCGGCAGTTGCCAATCATCACGGCGGTCAACCGGAATCGCCAAACTCGACAGCTATAAGTCGAAGCCGAGTCCACCGGCACTCGCCTCCTTCTTGGGCTATGCTATGGGATATCAGTTCCAGAATCCACGCGCCACAACCCCTTCGTCATGGCTTCCTTTTCGGCAATCGTCCTTCTCCTTCTGTCGGTCTCCCTGCGGAGCGTCATGGCTGCCACGCCCGGCTGCGGCAAGGCCGCGCCGGCCAGCGGCACCAAGTCCATTGGCAGCAGGCGGTACATCCTGCAGGTGCCCGCCAACTACAACCCCAACAAGGAGTACATGCTCATCTTCGGCTTCCACTGGCTCAACGGAAACATGAACACCGTCGCCCCCGGGTACTACGGGCTCCGGGCGCTGGCCGGCGAGTCGGCCATCTTCGTCGCCCCCGACGGCCTCAACGCCGGGTGGGCCAACAACGGCGGCGCCGACATCACCTTTGTCGACCAGATCCTCAGCGAGGTCCAGAACAGCCTCTGCGTCGACACCACCAAGCGCTTCGCGACGGGCTTCAGCTACGGTGGAGCCATGTCCAATGCGGTTGCTTGTGCTAGGCCCAGTACGTGATAACCCCCCCCCCCCCCCCCCCCCCCGTCGCTATACGTATTCTTGCCGTGTTATGAGATGGTCTGTATCTTGTGAAAGACGCTAGCTAACTGAAAACTAGACATCTTCCGCGCTGTTTCCGTCATTGCCGGTGCTCAACTGAGCGGCTGCGACGGCGGCACCACCCCCGTCGCCTACCTCGGCATCCACGGTTCCGCGGACAACGTCCTCCCAATCGCCCAGGGCAGGGCGCTGCGAGACCGCTTCCTCGGCGTCAACAAATGCCAGTCCAAGACCGCGCCGGAACCGAGCCCGGGGTCCTCGCAGCACATCAAGACGGAGTACAGCTGCAGCGCCGGGTACCCCGTCTGGTGGATCGGCCACGGCGGCGGCCACGTCGGCGACGCAAGCGACAGCCAGGGCAACTGGATGGCCCGCGAGACCTGGGACTTCTTCACCAGAGCCATCTATGACGGCGGCAGCGCTCCTCCGCCCACCACCCCTCCGTCCACCAATCCCCCCCCAGCACTCCTACTTCCACTCCTCCTCCGAGTGGAGGACAGTGTTCGGCCAAGTACGGCCAGTGCGGCGGGTCGGGATGGACTGGTCCGACGTGCTGCCAGTCTGGAAGCACCTGCAACGCTCAGAACCAATGGTGAGAATAGGCCCAATCTCCTTTTTCACAATGGCCGCTTTGGTCCACGAACTAACGAAGAGCAGGTATTCGCAATGTATTTGAATATTTCTAGTCACGCAAAGCACATAAGCCCGAGCTGGTCGATGGATCACTGTAAATAATTCTGAATAAAGTTCGGCAGCAATTACTGTTGAATTCATTATGCTGCAGGTTTGAACACTTTAACACCTGTACGGTTGTTTACTATTGATGTAACGTGCACGTAGCGTGGTAATGATCGCAGCTCTGGCAAATAGCCAAGCCTGACACCCTAATGGAAACATAATAGGCCAGCGGTCCAGCGTACCAATGCTTTTGGTTGATATGAACAAAGCTGGGCGTAGAACGGCATCTTCTACTGGATTCCGAATCATGCGGGATGTAGGTTGGTGTATGATGTATCGGTCGCGACTTGCCAAGGTCCTCACCCGTCCGAGCTGCCTGACGAAGTACCGCCCTGCTCTAATGAGCTGCAGTCCCCAAGCTAGATGCTTTTCAAGCTGCAATCAATCCACAGACGGGGGGCTCAGACTGCCGTCGCCGAGAATCTTCTCTTTGAGGCGCTCAATGCTATCATACCGTTTGTCGCGCATCCTGTTCGTAAAGATGTCGGAGACCTGTCCTGGACCATCAAATTCCATGACATTGATGCCTTCAATTGTGGCTTCAATGTCGTCAACGTAGGGGTCGACATCCTCGGGAGCTTCCAGGCCGTTTTCGATACAGGCGAGGAAGCTGCCGCCCTTGGCTCCTTCTGGGAGTGCGAAAGTCGTCGAGGCCCCGAGATCCAAAAGTCGAAGCGTCACGTCGGCGACCCGCCTTAACGTGCCCCTCGTGATGCGGGTGTGCGTCCACAAGGTCTGGAGGACCGCGCTCCAGAAAGCTGCGTCCTCATCGGGGAACATCTCTATGATGCACTCTACCAAGTGGAGTAGAGCAAGTATGGGGACGAGGCGAGTGCTGTCCGGCTGGCCCTGCGCAGGGAGAATGGGAGAAACGTAGACGGAGGCCGCATTGAAAACGCTCAGGAGCCAAGTGCGGTACAGCCCGTTTCTGTACCAAACCTGTCTTGCGAACGCGTTCCGTGTGCCAGCGCGGAGGAGCAGACGGAGGGACCGCTTGCCATCGTCGAGAAGTCTATTATCGAAACAGCGGCCACTATATCCATACATCAAACAGACAATGAGGCTCCCGATGTGCTCGACGAAGTCAGTGATTCGGCATCCGTCCTCCTGTCGAAACCTTGTGTTGGTCAGGAGGAACTCCAGAGCCTCCACGGGAAAGGACCGATCCGCGGCGAACGACAGCAGTGATCTGTTGCCGCAGCAGACCTGGAAAGTGCTGACGAAACGAGGCCCTGTGGTGACTGCTACACGGAGAAGCTCTGCGTGATGCATCCGGTCGTCTGTATGAACATCCTCGCTGCTCGCAACTCCGAGGTAAAAGGTAAGAATTCCGACGCCGCAATGGCCGTCTACGGCGTACTTGCATCCGGCGCGCGCCTGCACATCGAAGCCGGCCTGGCTAGGAGAGGAGGAAGCGGATCGCGTGGTCGCAGGTTCCACCGATATGGGCTCACGTTCGATGGACGGCTGCACGTTGGCGCCGGCCTGGTTGGGAGAGGAGGAAGCGGATTGCGTGATCGCAGGTTCCACTGATATGGGGTCACATTCGATGGACGGCTGCACGTCGACGCCGGCCTGGTTGGAAGAGGGAACGGATCCCATGGCCGCAGGTTTCGCCGGCGTGGATTCCTCTGGCGAAGTATTTATGTCCGTGTTATCGTAAATATCTTGGAATGAAGTCAGCTTAATAGACAAGTGACGGAGGGTAAATGGACAGCCAACCTGAATGATTTAATGACCGCAAGGGTAGCGTTAGAACCTCTGCAGGCGAATCTGGAGATGTTTGTTAGTCGTTGCGTCTCTGGAAAAGGACTGGTGGAGAAGGCGTGGGGAGGAGGGGGTCCTGTACCATTTCCGCTTTGGAGGGAAGCCATCATCGAGACGACTTGTACTTTCCAGTTTATATACCTGAGAAATGCCACAGCGTCAGAGGTGTTCCGTCGTATCCTCAACCATGACTGGTACTTACTATTATGGGCACCTATGAAGCTATTATTGTTTCTCGCCGTCGATTTGTTCGAAAACTAGGTGCTCCCGAGAATAACAAGCGACGAAGTATCTCAAGGGACCATGACATCCCAGGAGAACAATATAGAGACACCAATGAAAAAGAGGGAAACTTGCAAGAATCGAGCTGCGACTCATCGAATATCATTCCGGTAGCCCCGAGAACCTCTTCGTCCAGGACCGCCAGTCCAAGTAGGAAGACAAACTTTGAAGGCCTCACAGAGCCGCCAGACCTCCTCCTCCATGTCAATGCTCAACTATATCATGGCTATAGCGTGCGTGACATCACCGGACCTCGGAAAGCGTGCCTTTTGACTTTGGGCAACCACGCCGACGGAGCGACTCTCGGAGCGGTGATGACCTGGCTGGAGACACCAATGACCCACACAGAGCCTCACGGCACCGGAAGTCAAAACGGCGGCTGCGGTCGCGTAGGTTTTTTAGGCCCATGCATGTCGGAAGTTAAAGTCAGGAACCACCTTGGAACCGGAGCTTTGATCACTTGCTCGGGCCGGCCATCACGTGGGCTTGAATGAAGCATCATCGGCAATACGTTCAGCCCCATGTGACGAACCGAGAAGGTGTTCCTTGTTAAGAAGCCTACGTTTCATCTTGGCGCATTTCAGTCTCAGCTGTTGCCTCGCATTATCAACCAGGTGGATGGTAGGCGGAGCCCACTCGGCCAAACACCCCCAGCTGTCATGTCCATACTCAATGGCCTTTCTATATCGCGCGAAGCTCACTGGTCGAAACCAAAGATCTTTTTGGGGCCCCGCTGAAAAAGGTGCCGTGGGAGCACTGCTTTAACTGACAGGCGAGGCGGCCAATCGACTGGGTTGGTCTCAAATAGACCGTCTCCAAGGATGCAAGGTGGTTGGCTGGCCTGCATCCACCCGTGAGTGTTGCTTTGCATAGCCAGTTTAATCTGTCCCTTCTTCGGGAACACTTCTCTAAATCGAAGTTCGGGCCGCAGGCTAGCGCCGTGGGGCACGCCCGGCTTACCTGCGGAGGGATGCAGGCGTTCCATATACACTACTACTTACCGTAGGGTCCATCGACTATGTTTATAGAATTGATCTGGGAGGTCGACATGCTCTGAGACGAAGCGTTGGAATGTAACGGGTTACGGGTGGATGAGCTTCCCCGAGTCGGATGTTTGCAGGCTCAAGTGAAAATTCCAGCGATGGATGTCAAGTCCGGTCATCCCAGGCAATGTGGTTGGAGACAAATAAGGTGACTCGTTTTGCGCTGTGGCTTCGGCCGACACCGGTTGTGCCTTCATCACAACGGGGAGAGAGGCAAAGAGCGTGCGCATGGCGTTTCCATTTCGGCAGAAGTCGAGATTTCACTATTGGTTATCAATGGGGGATATGAGTAAGGTGGTGTCACGGGCATGGGCATGGCGTGCGCGTCGGGCGGCAGTCAGCAGGTGGACAGGCGACCTGGGGCAATGGTACTGGTGTGGTACGCGATGATCACCTGGCTGGTGTGGGGGAGAATCAGCCTCAAACCCGGACGACGTATGGCGGCTGGCGTGCCGAGACGACGACACCTCCCCGAGAAAGCTCGCTCAGGCGCGCGTTCCAAGACGAGCAAGAGGCACGGCCTCTCAGTTGAAAAAGGTCGGAGGGGTCCAGAAGGGCGTTGGAAGGCCCATGGAATTGAAGCTAAGAGATAGGCGAAGTCTGGCGTCGTGATATCTACTGGTGTGGTTGCCCCGAGGGGAGGACGAGGAAGTGGTCTTGTACGGCCAAACCGTCGCGTTGGTTCTGCTGTCTTATTTCTTGGTGTTTCTTGGAGAAAAGCCTTGGAAGGGGTTTTATGGCAGGTGAACATACCGAGGGGTTGCGGTGGGATTGCACGAGGGGCTTATCTGGCCGTGGTGAGCATGCCAACACCGATAGAGCAACTTGGCTGGCGCTTGGTACCAGTGAGGAGGCATTGATAGAAGAAGCCAAAATTCGCCAACGGGTTGGCAAATGGTTGGCATTTCTAGCCGGCAAGTGAGAAGTTGCGCATTGTGGACTGAACGGGGGTTGAGTCTTGGTTTCGGAGGCGGCCAAGGAAAAAAAAAAGGACATGTTTGTTTGTAACCGTATCTTAGTTCGTACCTAGGAGGGACTTGTGTCGTTGGAGTTCCAGCGAAGTAACTGTGGTGTACCCTCGCCCGACTCGTCTGTTGATTCCCAATTAACGAATACCTAATCGCGTGAGCGGCTCGGTCGCACCGTCTTGGACGCTCACTGGCCGACAATGGGACTTTTGTGAAGGGCCATGGGCTCGGCAGGCGCAACAAGCCTGCATGCAAAGATTACCTCCATTCAAGGGAGAAGGGGGGAGAGAGAGAGAGACAATGATGCGGCAAGCACAAAGTGATGGGAGCTGGCGGATGGGAAGCGTTTGGCGGAAGATGCCACAGATCTTTCTTTCTGGGATCGTGATGGATGTAAGTGAGGTGTCGCATGTACGTATGTATATATACACCTAAATGGATAAGGGGAGAGGTGAGGAAGGTGCAATTTGAGTAAAGTACTTAGGTGCCTACCTACATGGGGACCGGAGGCAGGTGCTGCTTCCGCCTGTCGTCGCCATCGTTCCTCCCTTTTCCGTCGTCCCTCCCCCCCTCTCTCCCTCTCCCGTTCCTTCCCTCTCGCGACCTGCCCCCCTTCCTTCCCACTAGGCCCGGCCCCACTTTCTCCCGCCAAGATCGACACACGATATCCCCACGCACCTAACCTACCTACCTAGGTAAGGTATGCACCTGTACTGTATTAAACACTAGAAGACGCGGAAGGAGCTTCCATGCATCAGCCCGGGCGGGCTATGCTGATAATGAATGCCTGGAGTACCAGAGAAATACTTTGCGATACCTTCTCTCTTCGTCATCCCCTCACATCTCTCGACGTCAGCCTTTCTCGCCCACGCCCATCGAGCCAAGCCCGCCACCCCATCTTCATCACCAAGACTCATCGATGGACCAGAACACGCTCGACCATGATCTTCCCTGGAACCCCCAAGATCCACCTTCTCTTCTTGTTCAGCGTTCCGTCTGCTTCACTCCACTTGCCCGAGACTTGGCCTTCCTCTGCCGCTTGGTGGACACCAATCTTACCCAAACCGCCTTATCTGTCAGTCTTTTGAACACGCCCACTCGCCCGTTGCCGCCGTTCACCTACCTTCGCGTCGCCCGCATGCCGCCTTCGCCGCTGATAGCCATGCTAGCCACTAGTTGTTCGCCTCGACAAGATAGTCTCGACTAGAATGCGAGACCAACCTATCCCATGTCTGTCGCTGCGTGAACCGCAAAGACAGGGGACCATTCGCATCTCTCATCCATGGCCCGTCGTGCCCTTTTAATCCCACAGCGTCCTCCCTTCCCTCGGACTATGATCGATGCCCTCCTCTTCTTGTGCTTTCATCCGTTAACTCAATAGGCCTGCCCCCTTCCTTTATTTGCACCTCGACTCCCTGGGCCTTACACCCCCGAATCACGCTGTGTCCCATGTGACCGGGTGTTACCTACCCTCAGTCACAAACACAGGAATCATTAGACGTACCCGAGTAGAGTCAGACGCGCTTCGCGCCAACGCAGGCACGAGATGGCCAGCGAGAAAGACATCCATGACGGTGTCTCGACACCAGAGACGACCCAGGTCAACACTGACACCCGCACTGGAGCTGTTGCCGGAGCTGAGACCGCCACCGGCAATGCCAGCCATGGCGTAACTAGCCGTGATGAAAACTTCTACACCCGCAACGGTCTCAACTTGGAGTCCTTCAAGCGCCGAGAATATGGCGCCGACATTGTCCACCTTGACCAGAGCATGAAGAGTCGTCACTTGCAAATGATTGCTATTGGTGCGCGCAACTTCCCGCTATTACGAGAACTGTTGTTGACATTTCATTCCCAGGTGGCTCCATCGGTGCCGGTTTCTTCGTTGGCTCCGGAGGTGCGCTCGCTACTGGTGTAAGCAACCCGCCTAGTTATTCTTGCACCTTGCCTTGGCTGACATGTCTCAGGGTCCCGGCTCTATTCTCATCGATTTCTCCATCATCGGTATCATGATGTTCAATGTTGTATACGCTCTTGGTGAACTCGCTGTCATGTACCCTGTCTCAGGTGGCTTCTACATTTACTCAGCCCGGTTTATTGACCCTTCGTGGGGCTTTGCCATGGGATGGAACTACGTCTTCCAGGTTTGTTTTCGCGCCCCCAACTGTCAGACAAGCAGAGTCAACCGAGACCCGGCGTGCTGACGAGTAATAGTGGGCCATCGTTTTACCGCTCGAGCTAACGGTCTGTGGTCTTACAATCAACTATTGGGAAGGTGCTAGAGGTACCAGCCTTGCTGTGTGGATTTCAATCTTTTGGGTCGCCATCATCATCATCAACATCTTTGGAACTTTGGGTTATGCTGAAGAGGAGTTCTGGTCCTCGCTCTTCAAGCTCTCTGCTATCGGTAAGTTGAAGCTTTCTCGTATCTTATCTTCAATATATTAACTAGGCGGCCCCACAGTTATTTTCATGATTGTTGCCTTGATCCTCGTTTGCGGTGGTGGTCCCGCTGGGGGCCGCTACGATGAATACTGGGGAGCCCGATACTGGTACGATCCTGGCGCGTTCAAGAACGGCTTCAGGGGGTTTTGCGCAGTCTTCGTCGCTGCTGCTTTCTCCTTTTCTGGAACCGAGCTCGTCGGTTTGGCTGCTGCCGAGGCCAAAAATCCCCTCAAGTCCCTCCCCGGTGCTATCAAGCAAGTCTTCTGGCGCATCACGCTGTTTTACATCCTCGGCCTCTTTTTCGTGGGTCTTCTCATTAGCTCCAACGATGAGAACATTCTTGGTGCCGACAACCCGTACGCTGACGGTACATCGCCTTTCGTCTTGGCTGCCGAGTATGCTGGTCTGTACGGCTACAACCACTTTATGAACGTCATTATTCTGGTTTCTGTTCTGTCGCTTGGTGTATCCTGCGTTTACGGCGGTTCTCGTACTCTGACCGGCCTTGCGCAGCAGGGTTACGCGCCCAAGATCTTCACCTATGTCGACAAGTCCGGTCGCCCACTCCCCTCCGTTGCAGTCCACCTCATCTGTGGTGCTATTGCTTACATCAACTTGGACGCGGATGGTGAGACTGTCTTCGACTGGTTGGTTGCCCTGTCAGCACTGGCTGCCTTGTTTACCTGGGGATCTATTTGCTTGGCCCACATTCGATTCCGCAAGGCTTGGGCCTACCACGGTCATACCGTCGACGAGATCCCTTTCCAGGCTGCCTTTGGCAATGCTGGATCTTGGGTAGGGCTGATACTTTGCGCCCTTGTACTGGCTGCTACGGTACGTTCCTCTTATGAATCCTTCATGACCACATGCATGCACCGACTAATGAACATCAAAGCTGTTCGTAGCAATTGCCCCAGCCGGACAAGACGACCTTAACTCTGCCGAAGGCTTCTTCGAGGCTTGGCTTACTGTGCCGATCATCCTGCTATTCTGGGTGATTGGTTACTTCTGGAAGGGCGAGGGATGGCTCCGCATCCACCAGATTGACGTTGACACCGGCCGTCGCGAACTAGACTGGGACGAGATCAACCGCTACAAGGCTGAGATGGCTACTTGGCCCACCTGGAAGCGCATGTATAACCGTTTCTTCTAGATGCCATAATATTTACTTCGGCGGCGCAATGTTTATCTCAAGTAGAAGCGCGAATCGGCAAGTTGTCGAGCCTTCGCAGTGTTATTTGATAGCTATTTGATCCAGGGCTTGATACTCTACACTGGTTACAGAGGGACCTCGGCGAAAATGACGAATGAGGGGGTGGGAGTAGCAGTCGACAAGCGAGCCAATCGATGGTCATTCATGCCAAGACAGCCTGCATCGCAGCCTGATACTCGAGGTCGCTTACTATGATCAAGAATCCCCAACAATCATCAACGACTTTTGCCTCACTTTCTATCCTGTGTCAAAACCTTTAGGATTGAGCTGAGCGCACCTACGGCGGCGACTCTGCTGCGGCGATTCAAGCGACAACATCTTCGATGATACTGATACGTCGCCATGGCGCACCCACATCCCCGCCGTGACGACTTCCGCATCGCCATCATTTGTGCACTGCCGCTCGAATACGATGCCGTCACCTTCGCTGTCGATGAGTTCTACCCCGAATACACGAGTAGCTCCGGCAACCATCATGCATACAAGACCGGCCGGATCGGAAGCCACAATGTCGTCCTGCTGCTGCTCCCCAACATGGGGAAGGTTAGCGCGGCCAGCGCAGCAGCCAGTCTCCGATCGATCTATAACGGGATAGAACTGGCCATTCTGACAGGGATCTGCGGCGGTGTCCCCAGTCAAGGGAACAACAATGAGGTTATGCTTGGGGACGTGATCATCAGCAAAAGTATCGTGCAATATGACCTCGGGAGGCAGTACCCCGGAGAGTTTGCAAGCAAAGACACCGTGGAAGACCGCCTCGGTAGACCAAATAAGGAGATACGTCACCTCATATCTACACTTGAGACCCGTCAAGGCCGCCGAGATCTCCAGCGGCGGGCCGCAGAGATCTTGACAGAGATACAGCAAAAGGCTGTCGACGATGGGGAGGAGGCGCTGTACCAACAACCACCATCCAAAGAAGACCTCCTCTTCGAACCAGACTACCTCCACATGCACCGAGATCAAAAACAAGATTGCGGCTGCAGCGAATTAGGGGCCTGCAGTGCGGCCCGCAACGCGTCATGCGAAAAGCTTCAATGTGACGAGAGGCGCCTCGTGCCACGAAAGCGCCTCATTACGGGCCACCAAAGAAATGAATGTCTAACCCGCGACCTCCAAGTCTTCGTCGGACGCATTGGATCAGGCGACACGGTGATGAAGTCAGGTGCGGACCGCGATAGGATCGCAGCAGAGCACGGCCTCGTTGCCTTCGAAATGGAGGGCGCCGGGGTATGGGACGAGATTCCCTGTGTCATTGTCAAGGCGGTCTGTGACTATGCGGATAGCCACAAGAACAAGAGCTGGCAGAACTATGCAGCAGCGACGGCAGCGTCTACAGCGAAGGCGCTTCTAGAGCATTACAACGGCACCAAAACCAGGAGTGACACCCCTAGGTCTCCTAGTAGGCACTGTAAGTCATTACCTCAGGGTTTCTTGCCCCTGCTAATGATCTCAGTTGTTGTTCCCTACAACGAAAACCCGGACTTTGTTGGTCGAGATGGGGCTCTGAATCTTCTCAAACAACAATTCGGCCATGACCCGCAGCAGAGCACAGCAAAGACACGGTCTCGAGTCGCACTGCATGGCCTGGGCGGTGTCGGGTAAGACGATATATCATATCTCGTTACAGCGAACACAATCTCTGACCTCACGTAGCAAAACGCAGATAGCGCTGGCGTACGTCTATTGGCTCAAGGAGAGACGGCCCGATATTTCCGTCTTTTGGGTTCATGCTAGCAACGCACAGCGTTTCCGTGAGGCTTACGCTTCCATCGCCGAAGCGTGCAACATTCCTGGACGCGACGACCCTGCTGCCGACTCCTTGTCCCTCGTCAGGGAATGGCTCCAGAAAGAGGGAAACGGCGCTTGGCTCATGGTGATTGACAACGCCGATGACACAAATGTGTTTTTCCAGACACAAGAAGCCTCCCACGCCGACGCGATAGCAAAGGACTTCAAAGACGAAGACAAACTGGGACGCTTCATCCCCGAATGCAGACATGGGTCAGTCCTCATCACCACGAGGAACAAACAAACCGGCTCCAGACTTGCGCCAGGGAAGCCCGCAACCAAGGTCGATAGTTTGACAGGCGACGAGGCAGACGAAATGCTCCGCTCGATGCTCGAGGCTTCAGATGGTGCAATCTCCACCGAAGACGCATCCGCTCTCGCTTCTCGACTGGAGTATCTTCCGCTCGCACTGGCCCAGGCGGCGGCGTTCATCCAGGAGAATGAGATATCGATACGCCAATACGTCAATTTGTTGGACAAGAGTGATACCAGTCTTGTGAACCACCTCAGTCAACCGTTTGAAGCTGTCGGGAGGGACTCGAGCACGCCGCACGCCCTTACTGCGACGTGGGTCATCTCTTTTGAGCAGATTGAGAAACAGAGCGCCGTGGCCAGTGAGCTGTTATCGCTTATGAGCTTCTTTGACAGACAAGCCATACCGAGCGAGTTTGTCAACGACTACTGCATTCGGAAGCGGACGGAAGACCCAGCAGCTGATACTGAGGGTGCTGAAGACATGGAGATCATTGTAACGAAAGCACTAGGAACCCTTAAGGCGTTCTCCTTCATTATGGAAACCAAGGACCAAAGCCTGGACATGCACCGACTCGTACAAGCAGTGACACAGAAATGGCTCTTTGGCAAACAACGGACAAATCAATTCGCCAAGCGAGCTCTTCAGATTGTATCGGATGCTTATCCGTACGGTCAACACGAGACCCGCGAGGTATGCCGCAAGTATCTCCCACATGCTTATGCTGTGCTTCGCTTCACAAGTTCCAGGTCTCAAGATGAGGACATTGCAAGGGCAAATCTACTGCACTGCGTCTCAGCTTATCTTTATTACCTAGGGCATTGGAAAGAGACGGAGAAAAGACTAGTCCAAACGTTAGAGCTCAGAAGAAGAATTCTAGGAGAAGAGAACCTCGACACAATCATGACTATCAACAACCTGGCTATCACGTACCAAGAGCAAGGTCGGTTGGAGGAGGCAGAAAGTCTCCAGGGTAGTATTCTAGAGATTTGCATGAGAGCGTTTGGAGAGGCGCACTATAATACGCTTACTACTATGAACAACATAGCAATCACGCACCGACAGCAAGGCCGGTGGGAGGAGGCAGAAAGACTCCAAGGCAATCTTTTAAAGATTTACATAAGGGTGTTCGGAGAGGAGGATCCTACGACGCTTATTGGCATGAACAACCTAGCAGTTATGTACCACGACCAAGGCCGATGGGAGGAAGCAGAAAGACTCCAAGATAGTGTTCTAAAAATTCGCAGAAGGGTACTTGGGGAGGAACACCCATATACACTTAGCAGCATGAGGAACCTAGCAACCACGTACTGGCATCAAGGTCGGTTAGAAGAAACTGAGGACTTGGAGGTGCGAGTTTTGGAGATAAGTAAAAAGGTGCTTGGAGAAGATCATCCTAATACAATTGCCAACATGACTAACCTAGCAAGCACGTACTGGCATCAAGGTCGGTTAGAAGAAACTGAGGACTTGGAGGTGCGAGTTCTAGAGATAAGTAAAAAGGTGCTTGGAGAAGATCATCCTGATACGATTGCCAGCATGAGGAACCTATCAACCACGTACTGGAAACAAGGTCGATTAGATGAAGCTGAGGACTTGGGGATGCGATCTCTGGAGATAAGTAAAAAGGTGCTTGGAGAAGACCATCCTGATACGATCATCAGTATGAAAAACCTAGCAGTCACGCAAAGGGAGCAAGGGCGGTTGAAAGAAGCAGAGGACTTGGAGTTACGAGTTGCGAGTTATGGGGATTGAATAGAAGATGGCTGGGGAGGATATCATCGATTTGGTAACTGGTATGGAAAATCTAGCCTTTAAATAGCAAAACTTTGAATAATATGACGAGACAATTCAGTCAATAATTAAAGAACTGCTTGCACTGGATACAATAATTACGACTGAAATCACACGAAGTTCAAAAATAGTCTAAGGCATATAGATCATGGACATTGCAACACCCGGCAACCAACGGCCGCTGACTATCATCCGGGCGAATTCCGGACTTTTAGCCACTCGCTCTAAATCGGTTGCGGGGGGCCATGACTCTGGCCGGGACGCTAATTCCGGGATGGCTGATCTTCGGCTTCATTTGCCAATGGTATCTTGGAGGGCCAACCCCGCCTGTGGCCTCCTTCGCCTCATTGATCCAGTTTCGGCGCGGGGCTGGAGACGAGTCTCGAATTGCGGCCGTGGCCCAAGAGCAAGCCCACGTATAGATATATAAGAGAGGGGATCACAGCTGATCTCCACAGGATGAACGTTCATGATCCACGCTACTCTTACTCTTCATCTTCGATCGAGTGACCTACTCACATCTGCTTCTTGACTTTATCCATGGACCAGAGATACCCCGAGTTTAATACTTGGCGCCAGACCACTCCAGGAGTATGGCAGCGCACCGCGGACGAGATCGAGAAGTTCTACTCGGTCCTTGCGACGCTTTACGAAGGAAGTGGTCTCATGTTCTTTGCAATCACCGGCCATATCTCCTTACGCGTTGACGTCCGCGACCAAGGGGATAGGACCGAGGCCGGAGCTATCTTTGATAAGGCCTTGGAGTCTGCTTGGCTCGCCCTCCGATTTGATCATCCAACCATCGCTTCACAAGTTACCCAGGATCCCGCCACTGGCAAGTGGACCAAGACGTACCGCCGATGTGGTGATCTGGCGGAACAGAAATTCTGGCTTGAAGAGACGCTCATACATGTGTCGGACGAAAAAACTGGTCAACAGTGGGCTAACAACCAGCCTACAGCCCAAAAGATACCGACTCTGTTCGTCCTCAGCCCGCCCTCCCACAAAGATGGTATGATTCGACGCGATCTAGTCTTCCGCTCGCCCCACGACATCATCGACGGGGTCGGAACCCTGATTCTCTTGAGCAACCTCGTCACTTACGCCTCCAAAGCCCTTTCTGAAGGAGACGCTTACAACCCCCCGGCCCTTGATGGCTCCGAGGCTGCGAACCTGAGCCCGCCGTACCGCGTTGCAGCCAACGTCCCCGCGAAGCTCACTAGCAACCAAGAGAAGCGATTGGCAGATATGGCAGCGCAAAAAGCTGCCGCTATGAACGCAACCAACATAGAAGTCCTTGATATGCCTTACCGGCACGGCGCAAGCCTCCCAGGCCGTCACCAACGCGTCGCTCGCATTCTCACCAAAGAGCAGACTGCCTTGCTCACCACCGCGTGTAAAGCTGCCAACGCAACGGTCACCCATGTCTTCCACGCAGCCATCGCACTCGTCCTTCGCGATATCCAAGAACGAGGCCCCAAGGCCAAGCGCGTGCGGTACGTCAACTACATCCTTCGCAACGAGCGCGCAAGCTGCCGAGCGCCGTACAACTCTCATCGGCATCCCGCCGCCCTTTACCATTCCGTTCCCGGCCAGAGTCTGGTAGTCGATATGGACCTGCCCGCCGCCGGTGACGACCAAGTCAGCGACGGAGAATTTCTGCGTGTCGTGCAGGTCATGAAAGACTTTTACCATGGCGTCCGGAACGACGAGGAACACTACGCCCTCGCCCCGACCATCTGGGCCGCCGCAACCCCGGACGTACCCGCATCTCCCCGGCCGCTGCCCGTGCCCCCGCCAAAGACCCACCCCTCCGTGTCCATATCCAGCATGGGCCGCGTCGACAATATCATTGCTCCCAAGACGGGCGCCATCGAGGTGTACGACCCGTGGGTCACGGGCGAGGAGCTGGGGAGCGGCCTGGGCCTCTTCTTGGGCACGTTCAGGGGCGAGCTGTGTCTCAGCGCTGCCTACAACGATGCCTGGCACACGGCGTCCGATGTTCTCGACTTCCTGAAGCGGTGCGAGGACGTAGTTTTCAAAGGATTCGACCTGCAATCTACCCAATAAGGTGATGAAGCGCTGTTGTGGAATGGGCTTGGAGAGCTTTGTAGAGGCGAACAAGGATAAGCATCCGGTTTCTGTGGTAAGCTCTGTAAACGAATAAGCGGAATGGCAGAAGCAGTTATGTCAGTAACCATGAGCTCTTGGTACTCCTGTATATATTGGGTGCGAAGCTATGAACGAGCAACTAGTGAACTAAGACGCATGTGTTTGGGGTTTTATGCTGCGGACAGCCGAATCCTTCCACGGAGCTATCAATAGCTGATGCTTCTCCCCTCATTCCATAACACTTGATTTGTCAGTATTCCAAAGAGTCCAGGTCAATCTCCTCCTTTCTCCGACGAATCAACAACAACGCGCTGGGAGGCGGAAGCGCCATACCATAAGGCATAGGCTGGGGTTTGCACCCCGTGGGCAGCTTCCAGTCGTACTTCAACAACAAGTGAGCCAGCGCGATCTTGAGCTCGTTGGCGGCAAAGAAGCGGCCGGGGCACGCGTGCTGGCCGTGACCGAAACCGAGGTGCTTCGCACTGGTGCTCACCAGGTAGGCAAGCTTCCCCTCGTCGGTGCCGCGCATTTTCAGGAAGCGGTAGCCGTCGTACTCCAGCGGGTTCTCGTAGTACTGAGAGTCCCACATGTGGGTGTTGGTGGAGATGATCTTTTGACCCTTGCGCAGGACGAAGCCGGTCGATAGCTCGATGTCCTTCTTGACGAGGCGGCGCCAGGTCGCTGTTATGCGCACGTCAGTGACTTGATCCACTATCCTGAAAGCTTGTAGATAGGTAAAAGACTTACCGAGGAGTACAGGCTTCATTCGCTGCGACTCTTTGATGACGCTGTCCATAAGCTTCAAGTTGTGGAATGCCGTCGTCTTCAGGCCTTCGGCACTCAGCACGCGAACGAGCTCTTCCCGGAGGGGATGGAACAGTTCCGGGTGGCTCGCCAGATCAAGCATGGTCTGCTCAAGTAAATCGCTTGTAGTGTGAATCGCGACGAGAGACAGGGTGATCTGCTCTCTGACCGGGTCATAATTGGTCGTGAGTTCCTTCTCGAACCACTCGAAGGAGTCGTCAAAGACGGGACCTGTCTCACCACGCGCCTGGGCCGCCGCCTTACGCGCGTTCCGTCGCTCGAGGTGGGGCTTCAGGGTGCTGCGGCACTCAGCGAGGAGGCGGCGGACGTACCAGCAGGAAGGGAGGAACCAGTGGACGATGGGTCGTGCCCATCGGGGCCACTGGCCCACGCCCCAACCGACCATGAAGGCGGTACTGCTGTAGTGCCCGGAGACGCGGACCCATTCCTCGTCACGGCAGATCTCTTCGCCCATGAAGACTCGGGAGGAGAGGCGGGATACGATGCGGATGATGTCATTACGGGGAGTGATCTGGCGCCAGTCTTGCCAAGGGTTGGTGTCAGTGGATCGTTGTGGTTCGCAAGCACTTTTGAAGCAGAGGCGGCGGGTGTAACATACCTGTCGAGTCGGTGAAGACGTGACGGAGAACAAGCGTTGCCTCTTCGGAGATGGGTTTCGTAAGTTTGGCTATCGAAACACCGTGAGCATCAAAACATGGGAGATCATATTTTCCTCGAGCACGGGACGTGGATAAACTCACTGAGTGCCTTCGTTAGGTATTTTGTGATGATTGAGGGCATTGCGAGATTGGCGTGAAAGGGATCAAACCCAGGGATGTAACTATGAGTGTCCTGTAAGGCTTGACCATCAGCCCAGGAGCCCCATCAGTATCGTGATGCAAACAAGACTTACGTCGGCTGCAGACTCGGCAAAGTCCAGCCTTGGGTCACTGCGTAGTTCCTGCATGAGAGGAGGTGGCAAGACGACGACCTCGCCCCATTCTGTGTGCATCCTGAACGGGCTATCTCCGAAGACTGCCTTTCCTTTGAGCATGAGCTCCTTGCTTTGATGGACAAACTCGCCATTGCGGCGTCGGTTGGTGAACTCGAAAGCCTTCAAGGGGTTGACCTCCGGGAGCTTGGGGGCGCGATCACCGACGGCATATACCAAGATCACAAAGAGGAATGCTGTGACGAGGTACGGAATAGGCTGTTCGGCGGGCGAAGGAATGGTATAGGCGCCGAGCCCCAGATCGAGGGGAGGGTTGGAGGCCATGCCGCCGTTGGTGTTCTGGTTCGTTTTGGTTAACGGGTTGTGTGGCCTCGCGCGGGGCCGGATCCTCTGCTTGTCGTCTGCGGATTTCTGTTGCTGGTCCAACTTTCTACCTCGTCTATGCAAGCCGGGCGAACCCCTTGCTATATATATTATGACCCCCGCCTCGGCTACAACCCCTTTTCAGTACGTCAACCGTTGTGGATATGTGTGTGGTACGTCTTAAGGTTCAATATCACATTTGAGGGCCGCATGCTGCACCTCAAGTGTATCAACGCCAGGCGATGCGACCTCGGTGAAGCACTTTGCCATCTTGGCCTGCCGAATAAGGCATGAAATGTGAGTAAATGTATCTGCAGTCGACCTGTTCTTGATCAATTGGTTGTCTTTCCTCCATAATCTTTCTGCCGATATTCACTGGCCTTGGCAGTTAATGCAACTAACTGAGAAATCAACAACCATCCTGATAACGTAAAGTCCAAAACAGGACAGTTCTCACTCATCCGTATATCAAAATCTCCATTTGAAC